TGTACGCAAATCCATGTCCATTGCATGAGATGGAAACAATATGAGGTGCCCTGTTTGTGTCTAGTTGGGGTAAGAACCATATGAGAAGTAGGATGATGCGAGTATGGGTTAGAGACAACCCTCTGAGGCGAGCTCTCTACAAGAAACCAGGTTTTAGAATCAGGTGATGACTCTGCCTTCCCATGCATTAATTATGTTCTCCTAAGCCCAGACACAATGAATGGATTACAGCAGATGGTCATATAAAATATGTAGAGAATAGGATACGGAACACTGTTAACATTTAAAATTGATTTTGCTAATAGGAACCACACCAGTTTCAAATGCTAACCAATTCAAACAGCAGAAGCTCCAAATTTATAGAACAAACAAACATAAAACTTAGGCCTTCATCCCATTTGACTGTAACATAGAAAGATAAATACGAGTTCAAGCTCTACTTCGAATGCATAGGTTTTACCCAGGGCCTCCGAGAATGGGAAAGGGAGGGACTTTGGCGTCATCTGATTTCCTGCTGTGCTGCTTGTCCCCTCCTTAGCAACTCCTGGCCCACACCTCCAGGGGCTGTCAACCTCCTTCCCAGCCCCCAGAGCCTGTCCACAGCCACGTTCGTTTGCTGGGGCTGTCCTAACAGAGCTCCACAGACTGGATGGCTTCAACAGCAGAAATGTATTGTCTCACAGTTCTGGAGGCTGGAAGTTCAAGATCAAAGTATCAGCAGGCTTCGTTTCTCCTGAGGCCTCACTTCTTGGCTTGCAGATGGCTGCCTTCTCACACTGTCCTCACATGGCATCTCCTCTGTGCATGTCATCCCCGATGTCTCTCTGTGTGTCCAAATTTCCTCTTCTATGACACCAGTCAGATTGGGTTAGAACCCACCTTAACAGCCTCATTTTAACTTAATTACTTCTTTAAAGACCCTATCTCCAAATATAGTCATATTCTGAGGTACTGGGGATTAGGGCTTCGACATACAAATCTGAGAGGAAGGGGGTGCAGAAATAGAACTAAGCCCGTAACAACAGCCCACCACACAGTTCTTCTGAACAGATGTCTTTCCCTTTCCACAGGAGGTCAGATCCTGGCTCTGGTAGAAGCTTTTCTTCTTCCCTTGAGGTTCTCTCTCTTCTAGCTGTGCCCTCTCCCTTTCCAAGAGCCCTGGATGAAGGGGGCTCAGCCAGTGATGGGTGTTGCATATCTCATCCAGCATCTGCTCCTTAAGGATCTGGCTTTCCCATTCTCTTCCATCTAGCGTCTTTGGGCTCTCCCTCTCCTAGCCTTCTGCTTTCAAAGTTGTCCTCTGCCCTCGCACCTTGGAAGAAACCTTAGCTTGATACTCCTCTTCTCTCACCCCATTTCTTTCTGTCCCTTTCACCTCCAGCATTCTTGGTGCATTTGTTGACTCCTTCCTGTCTCCTTGAGAATCTCCTCTGGCGTGATTTCTGAGCCCACAGCCCCACTGCACTTGCCTCTCCAACCCCACACATGACTCGGTGCTGGTCACGCCTAAGCCCACTTCCCAGTGCCCGTTCTGTCCTCCCTGTGGTCACAGTGACTGTCCTTCTCCTGCCTCTCAGAGTCCTCCCACTGCCCCTCGCTATCTTCACTGTGGGTATCACCTGGAATCAGACCCTGGCCCCTTTTCATCTTTCAGTGCATTTTTTTCCCCCAAAGAACTGACCCATCCTCACGGCTTCCATTATAAATTGCATGTTTGATCCTGAAATCTTTCAGTTCCAGTCTCTACCAACCTCTCTCTAGAATTCTGATCCTGGGCTTTTTCCTGCATACAAATTAAATTCTTTCATTCACAGCATTCACTTGGACCAAGCCAAACTCATCTTTTACTCCCGATATGCCATCAATATAATTTTCCCCGTTGATCCAAGCAAGAATTCTCTAAGGGAAGTTTATACCTCCCCTCTTGTTTAGCCCTTAATTTTTTTCGACTTTTCCTCTGTCTCTTATTTATATTTTCTTTTCTGCTGCCTTTACCAAAGCTGGACCCGGGTGATCAGTTCCTTCCAAGAGTGTGGCAATAGCCTCTTTACTGGGTATCCTTGTCCCCCAGGAACTGGACACACCTCCAGGTGTCCTCTAGCACAGTCGGACTGCTGTTTGTGTGAGGACTCCCTGTTCACTGAGAACAAAGACCCAACTCTCAGACTCAGCCTTCTAGTCCAGCACTGTCCAACAGACTTTCTGTGATGATGGCAGTGTTCTATGTCTACACTGTATGGAAGCCTCTGACCATGTGTGGCTAGTAAGCATTTGAAATGTGACTAGTGTGACTGAAGAACTGAATTTCTAATTTTCTTTCATTTAAATTGTCATACTATCTTCACACCACTGCTCTCTAATCCCAGCCCTGTACTCTGGCCAACCTCCAGCAAACATCACCCTGGTTCCCAACTCTGAGCCCCTCCCTGTGGCTGAGCTATGGGTCAGGCTCTTCTCCCTTCTCGAGTTAGAGCTTCTCTAGTCCTCAGGCCCATCCAACGTCACACCGCTTAGCCCTTCCTTACCATCTCCTCAACCTACAGGGTATACTCCTTCTCCTTCATTTGAACAACCATGCATGTTGGCTGGATAAAATTATTTTAACTTTCTATTTAACTTTTATTTTGAAGTAAATTCAGACTTAGAGGAAAGTTGCAAAAATAGTACAAATAATTCTCGTATACCCTTCACTCAGATTCTTCAAATATCAACATTTTACCATGTTTGCTTTATATCTTCTCTCTCCCTCTCTTTTTCCATCTCTCCCTCTACCTCTACACACACACACACACCACACACACACACACCACACACACATTTTATGATCAGTGTGATAGCAAGTTGCACATATGGTATCCTCTGCACCTAAATACTTCAGTGTATATTTCCTAAAGCCAAGGCCATTCTCTTATAAAACCAGTTTGGGGATCAAAACATAAAATTAACATTGACACAATCCTATCATATAATTTATTGGACTTATTCAGATGGTTCCAGTTGTCCTATAAATGTCCTTCATGGCAAAAGAAAAAGAAGCCTTTCCTGGGACCACATGCCTTGACATTTAAGCCCTTGAGGACCAGCCCTGATTTCTCCCATTTGTTTGGTTTTCTCCTCAGTACCCAGGCTAATAGTATGTACAGATTGGCATTTGCCCGACACATTGTAGGCCCCCAATAATTTTTTGTGATTTGGACAAATGGTTCAATAATGGTGACGAGCCAGGGTGAACCTGGTGGCAGCAGGCCCCATGCTGGGCATAACCACGTGACTGGTCCTCATCAGCTCTGTGCTCCTAGAGTGCCTCTGTCAGGGATCACCTCCTGACACCGTCTTCTGGGGGTACTCAGGTGGGCAGCATTACTCTTCCCTTTTATAGGTGTACCACTGATAATCCCCAAGGTTAGCTAATTTGCCTGTGGTCACAGAGCAACTCCATGTCCAAGCCAGGACATCGCACTGCCTCTTTAATATGCAGAGGTGAAGCTTTGTGTATAGATCATTGTTAACCCCACTCGTTCATTCAGTACATAGTTATCAAGTGCCTACTATGTGTCAGGCACATTGGGTAAATCGAACCAAAAAAGTCCCTGCCCTTAAAAAGCTTATGCTTTATGGGGAGGCAAAGGGCAGACAGTAAGTAAATAAGTAAATAAATAGTTTATTATATGACATGTACCGTGAGGGGAAAATATTAAAGTGAGGTAAGCATGATAAGGCGTGCTGGGGATGGGGGGTTGCTATTTGATATAGAGTGGTTAGGGGAGATATCCATGGTTAAGTGACTTGTCCCCATTTTGTGTGTATGTTAAGGTATAATTTACATACAGTAAAATTCACCCTGTCTAGTGCATAGTTCTGGGAACCTTGACAACACATATTGTCAGGTAACTACCACCACAATCAAGACATGGTTCCATCACCTCAAAACATGTCCTTGGGCCCCTAATGGCCAACCCCTCCCGCTGCCCACCTCTGGTAAGCACTAATCTACTCTCCTTCCCTGTAGTTTTGCCTTTCCTAAAATGCATAGAAAGAGAATTATACAGTACATAGCCTTTGAGTCTGGCTTCTCTTAGCGGAAGAGATGAATCACTAATGAGATTCATCCATGTTGTGTGTATCAGTAGTTTGTTTCTTTTAATTGATGAGTAGTATTTCATTGTATGAAGGTATCAGAGTTTATCTATTCTCCAGTTGAGGATATTTGGATAACTTCTAGTTTGGGGCAATTACAAATAAAGCCATGACAACCATTCATGTTCAGGTATTTGTTTGCAGGTAGATTTTCATTGCCCTTGGATAAATAGGTTAGATGGCTTTTGAGCAAAGCCCCGAAAGAAATATGAAAACAAGACATTAAGATGGCTGAGGATATTTTTGCATATTCGCCACATTGTTATTCAGCTCAATGAATATGTTTGTGCTGCCAGACTGGTCTGTTTGGGTCATTTTTCTTATTTGAGTTGTTTGGAGAAAGTGGAGTTAGGAATGGAGGAATGGTTAGGAATGGTTGGTTCATTCAATTCTTCATTCATTCATTGATCCATTCAATAAACATTAAAAAAGGGAAGGCCACCAGTCCACATTCTGTGACTCAAAGGAAGCCTGAACCTCTTGGATCCACACCAAAGGCTAATTTTAGTTGGTTTATCTGACTTAATTTCCTTTCTGAGTTTCCTGAAAGTTAGGGTGAGAGAATAGTTAGTGAGTTTGGGGCTATCATTGAAATGGACAGTGGGGGCTTAAGCATTTTTGAGTTTTTTATCTCAATGGAGGCTTCAGGGACCCCTCCAGAGGCCCCCTGAGCACTGATATTCATGTGATCGTGAAGTTGTCTGTATGAGACCCCAAGATCTCCAGAAAGACATATTCGAGGGAGGGCTCTATCTAGATGAAGGGCCTATAGGTAAGACTGCATTCTCCTAGAATTCATGAGCTTTGTGAGGAAAAAAAAACCAAAACTGACAGAAAATAACCTGTGAACTTCTTTGTTTCAGGTGATGCAACTGTGAAAAAGAAACCTGCACCCAAGACACCTCTGAAGGCAGGTAATTGGTCACAGCAACATTTGGGGGCAAGGGGATCATCTGCCATGAGGGGTTTTTCCTTTGCCCTGTTAGGCTGACCACTGGGTATGTGGTCCCCTCCCAAATTTAAGCTCTGCATTATTCAGGCCCAATTTTCCCTACAGCTTCTGCACAACGTGGCCCCCAGCCCCTTCCACTACTTGTCTTTTCTCCTGCTTCCCCTGGATGGACAGCATCACACAGTATTAGCAACTCCCCCATTCCTTCTGTGAAATTCCACCTCACCCTCTGCCCTCCACTCTGCCCTTTAAGGAGGTGATTCACTTTGTGCTGTTTTAATGCTCTGCTCCTATATGTCCTTGTCGTACAGAACCTTGTCTGTTTTCCACAGAAATACATTTGAGGACGTGAACCATATTGATCCTGCCAGCCAGGGTCACCTCCAGGTTAGATGGCAAGGTGCTGTTTAATTAACTAAGGAGTTAGGATGTAGATCCAAAAAAACTAGGATACGATGCCAAGTCCAGACCACCCAACATATGGAGAATTGTGCCGTGTGAATTGCATGGGCCACTTCTGAGGACATCAGCATAAAGAGATGAACAAACCCAGCAGGCCTATCAGCTCACATGTTCTGGAGCAGTGATCACTGCTCTCCATCTTACCCTGAAGGTTCCGGAAGCCGAGAGAGGAGCAACAGACCCATGTGGACAGCAGTGCCAAATGAGATCAGAATGTCTAAGACTCCCTCCTCCTCATTTACTTTCTCACTTGTACTCTCCTAGCCATGCCCCCTCAGATCACCCAGTTTCCTGAGGACCAAAAGGTGCGTGCAGGAGAGTCTGTGGAGCTGTTTGGTAAAGTGGCAGGCACCCAGCCCATCACCTGCACCTGGATGAAGTTCCGAAAGCAGGTCAGTAACGGAGGGGAGTGGCCTGTGAACCACCCACACAGCCCCTGGGTCGTAAGGGATGAGACATGCAGTAACGGAGACAGCATCTCTCTCCATCACAGGAGCCTTAGAAATGGGCGAGACCCCTCATCCGCTCATCACCTTCTCACCCACTCTGAGTTCTTAATAACCTTTTCTTCTGAATCTACTAAGAATGCCTACTTTATAGATAATTTGTATAATAAAGAAAAGTGTGAAGGAAAAAGTAGGAATCACCCTTGGCCCTCACCCAATTTTGATATCTCAGTCTAGAATTCTATTCAGAGTCAGGAAAATGGAACCAGTAACCTAGATGACCTCTCAGACTGTGAGCTTTCTGTGATTTTTGTGCCAGTTCACTGAACCCCATCTGTGACAACAACTTAAACTGACCACATGCTGAAGGGATAAAAGTGGATCTCAGTATTTGGATTGATAACTTGTTCTTTAACTAGAATTGTGGCTTACTGGACCAGAAATCAGGCTACCATTTATAATAATGGTCCTATGGGAAAATGTTCGAATTTCTCAACAACCAGCTGTTAAAGGAACTTGTGGCTTCCATATTGGTCATGTGTTGTGCCCATATGCATGATCAGAAGAGGCCCCAGAACAGTGGGCTGGCACTGGATCAGGAACTCTACAGAAGGCATGATTTCTTCTGAGCCCCCTGTTGCTCTACTTCCAAACCATTCGAGTTGTCCTAAGGCCCAGAGAGGAAAGGCTAGTACCGGGAAGGAAAGGAGGGTGGGTCTCAAAAATGAAGAAGGGAAGCTGGCCTTTAACATCCCAAAGCATGTTTGCCCAAAGCATGTCTGGGGCAGGGTTGTCTAAAGTAAGGTGGACTCTCATCCCATTTCAGAGACGTTTAGCCAAGTTCCATCTGTCCAACAGCACTTGATGTAGTGATGGAAATGTTCTATGTCTGTTACCCAATATGCAGCCACTAACCATATGTAGCTATGGAGCACTCCAAATGTGACTAGTGGAACTAAGGAACTGAATTTTAACTTTTAAGTAATTAAAAATTGTTATGGGGTGGCTGGTTAGCTCATTTGGTTAGAGCGTGTTGCTGATAACACCAAGGTTGCCGGTTTGATCCCCGCATGGGCCACTGTGAGCTGTGCCCTCCTTAAAAAAAAAATTGTTATAAAAGCTTTGTTAAGATATAATTCACATACCAAAAAAAAATCACCCTTTTAAAGTGGCTTTTAGTATATTCACAAAGTTGTGTAACCATCATAATTATCTAATTCCAGAACATTATCACCCCAAAAAGAAACCCCAGATTCATTAGCAGTCATTCCTTCCCTTCCCCCAGACGCTGGCACCCACTAAGCTACTTTCTGTCTCTATGGATTTGCCTATTCTGGACATTTCATATAAATGGAATCATATAATATGTTTTCTTTTGTGTTTAGCTTTTTTTACTTAGCATTATGTTTTCAGAGCTCATCCATGTTGTAGCATGAATCAGTCCTTCAATCTTTTTTTTTTTTAATAAATTTTATTGGGCAACAGTGTGTTTTTCCAGGACCCATCAGCTCCAAGTCAAGTCGTTGTCTTCAGTCTAGTTGTGGAGGGCACAGAACATTGGCCCATGTGGGAATCAAACCGGCAACCCTGGTGTTATGAGCACTGCGCTCTAACCAACTGAGCCAACCAGCCACCCCCTTCAATCTTTTTTATGGCCAAATTGTATTCCATTGTCTAGATAGTCCACATTTTATTTATCCATTCATTAGTTAATGGATGTTTGGGTTGTTTCCACTTAATTACATTTTAAATAGCCACACGTAGCTAGTGGCTATGGTTTCAACAGCACAGAAGAGGTCAGAACTCACCGGGGTGGTGACTTTGTAAGTGACTTTGCTCAGATGTGTTCTCTCACCCCGTCCCAGAGTGGTGCATGGGGACTGGGATGTTCCTGAGCTCCAGTCGGGAGCAGCAACTGCAGAGTTCGTTTCCCCGACCCTGCTCAGCACCCTCCTGCCCTCCCCAGATCTGGTCCCCTCAGGAAGGCTTGGCTGTGGATGCAAGAGAGGAGGGGCCTTAGGGGGAAGCCCAGAGTCCAGACAAAAGCAGCCCCGCACAGCTCGGGCAGCTGCATCCCTTCGGGAGTCGGGAGTGAGGGTCGGAGCCCCGTTCCTTTCCCGGCTCGTGTCTCCAGCACCTGCCCACTCTCTGCCCGCAGATCCAGGAGAGCGAGCACATCAAGGTGGAGAACAGTGAGAGCGGCAGCAAGCTCACCATCCTGGCCGCCCGCCAGGAGCACTGCGGCTGTTACACGCTGCTGGTGGAGAACAAGCTGGGCAGCAGGCAGGCCCAGGTCAACCTCACCGTGGTCGGTGAGTGGGGATGGGTGGCCCGGAAGGCAGAAGGCAGGAAAGCTAGAGAGCCCCCTGCAGGATGCCGGGCCTGGAGATCTTGTCTCCCAGGGGAATTACCCCGGTAGCAACCATCGCCTCTGCCCCCAGCCTCCCATTATCCCACTTTCTTTCCCTCTCCTTGCTCTCACACTGCTGCTTGCATCATGCTCACAGAGAACTCCCGACCCTGCGCACATACACCCTACAGTGTTCTCTACCTGTGAAGCCCCTCCTGGCTTCTCTTTCTACCCTTTGGAGACCCTGAGCTCTGCTACTCCAGGCCCTCTCCTGCTAGCACCTGAAACTCCTTCCCCTCTCTGGTCAACCGCCTAACCCCCAACAGAGTCCCCCTGAAAATCTGCACCTTGAGTCAATGCTTCCTTCTGACTTCACTGCTCCTACACCTGACTTGGGGGGCCTTGCAGGAAGATTACATCAACACCAGACTTAGTCTGGACCCTCTCATAATCCAGGCTCAGCCAATGTGTCAGTGCTGGTCAGTGCCTTCTCCCCCAGTCTGTGATAGTTTGTCACCCTCAGGCTTTGGCCTCTAGCTTCCCTAAGAATCAGGAGGCATCAGGCATGACCTTGCTCACCTTCATGGTCCTACATCTGCAGGCATCTGTCCCCTGGCTGATTCCACCCTCCAGGCTCTGGGTGTGGCCCACCTTTCTCTCCCTGAGGCAGCTTCCTTCTCCTACACTCTGCATCCCAGGCTCTTGGGGGGCTACACCACGCCCCTTCTCTCTTCCCTTCAACTCCTCCTCTACTTCTCCCGTAAACGTTGCCAGAGCTCTGCCATCTCTCTCCTGCTCTCTCGTCATGGCCAAGCCCTCTGAAAGAGGATGGTCCCTCCTCTGCTTCTGTCCCTCACTCCCTGGCACTCTCCAGCTCCCTGCAGCCTCCCCTCCACACCCCAGTAGTCTACGGGGACCACCCTTCTGAGGTCACCATGACCTTGTAATCCTAAACCCACTCCTTTTTTCTTGTCTCCTAAGTCCTGGTATTGAATCTGTCTCCAGCCTGATTATCAAGTTCATTTTTCTTCTCCATCCAGTCACTGTGTTGTTCATGCCATTGTCAACTCTCCCCTGAAATGTCCAACTCGCCTTCTACCTGGTCTCCCACTGTCCACTGTCCGTCGTGCTCAGCTCCTTGCCCCCCCTCCACGTGGCAGGTGCTCAGGACAGAAAAGGAACAGCAGGTGACAGAGCAGACTGATGGATAGTAGGCCATGTCCTTGTGCATTTGTGAGTCTTCCTACTGTTGTGAGTGAAAGCCTTTGACCTGGTGATTATTGATCTGATCTTTCTTTTGTTTCCTTTTTGTCAGGAGTTTTAAATCTGGGAAGTCAGTATACCAGGGGGTCAGGGGATAGGTTTCTCATCTGTAAAAGACAGCAGGGGCCCTTTTCTCACTCTTCCTCTCCTTGGGGACTGGATGCTTATTTCAGTAGTTCCCCCATGGAGTCAGGAACACTTGCGGGGGTTGAGGGATTGGTGCTAGTGATCCAGCCTGCCTTTACATTTAGACCTGGCCCCATGCCCTCACCCATCAGCAAGCACTGGTTTCCAGTTTTCCTGGGTGTTCTCTCATCTGCCCTGCCTGGGGAACTTCGAGGTCAACTCCTCTGGACTGCTTTTCTGTGATCAGTGCCCCCTGCCCCCACTCGGGCAGGCGCCACTCGGTGCCACACATTCCCCTCCCCCATCACCACTGCACGAGCTGCAGTTCTGGCCTTTTATGGTTTAGTTTCTTATTCTCCTCGGCCAGTACTGACAGGGCCATTGGCGTGGCTGCCCGCCAGCTGGCAGGAGCAGCATGTTAAATGCCGTCCCGGGAGGGGAATGGAATGGAGGGGAATGGGGCTTTCTGTCTGCCTCCCCCTCACAGAGCTAAGAATAGAATTGCTCAATAAAATGAGGACTCGCATTGATGGAAACAGTGAAGCCACATTCATTCAGAGCCCGTGGATTTAGAATTCATCCAAAGTAAACCTGGATTAAGCCCAGACTTACCTGCCTGTCCCTAAGGACATCTGTGGACGTCTGTGTCTGTGTATTACCTAATCAGGGTGGATTAACTAGATGTAAAATGTAAATGAGATGAAACAGGACTTGTTTGGCCTACTCTGGATGGTTTTCAAGCACTTTGGAAGCATCCATTTACAGGCCAGCTAAATAAGGCTGATTTAACACAACTTCTACTTGTTAGCAGTAAACTTCTTTTCTGGTATGTTCTTTAAAGTACCACTTTTTCCTCAGATAGTCTGTGACTCCTATTTTTAAAGGATAATAAAAATTAGCCTTTCCCTTCAGTTAGTTTAAATGGGTGATGTTTAGCTTTTTTAAAGGCTTGTGATTATTCCATGTTAAAGACAGTAGAGGGATTTGTGACACTCAGAGGGCCTCTGCCTGCACCTCTAGCCACAGGCGGTGGGGGTTGGGGGGAAGGGGGTGCGGTACGGGTAGGAGAGAGCAGCCCGACCCAGGTGAATTCCTTCCTGTAACTTGTCCAGCATGAGAAAAACAGGTTACTTTGCAAATCTCTAAAGGAGAAAAACAAAGTAAAGAGAACCCTAGATACCCAGTAATCCCCAAATGCTATCTTAGCCTGGGACTTGCACGATTTTTAAGGGCAGGAGATTTCCCTTCGTAATGCTTGACTTGGGTTAAGCAAGATGTGTTCTGGAACTTATTCCCCGCCCCCACCCCCCACTCCCGAAGCGAGGATCTGCAGACTTTTTTTGGAATCACCTTTTGGCGCTGCCACAGGCTAGCTGGGTCTTCTCAGTAAGCAAGGTGCCTTAGCCTCCAAGGGCCAAGATTACCCAGTGAGGAGACCCTGGGGGCCCTTGCAGCCCCGTGCTATTCTGTAAAAGATGCAGGCGGCTGCTGAGGTGCCAGTGAAGGAAGGTCCAGGTGGGGTAGGCACAGATACAGGTCATCTTTAAACACACAGGCATGCAGAGACTACCAGGGCAGTTACTCTAGTGAGGAGCATTAGCCATGAGATCCTTCATTTTCTCTGGAATGGGAATACTTGCTGAACAGAAAACCCTGGAGCTGGTGCATTCGGAGACCCTTCCCCTAGACTCAGCATTTCCCATTCTGTTAGTTAGGTCTCCAGGGAGGCATGGAAGAATTCCCAGGAAGCATGGCGCTCAGGGACCTAGACACTGAGCCCGCCTCCCCTTTGCCAGGCCATGCCCCAGGCCTCCCGCCCAGACCGAGAATGGCTGTGTCTTTAGCATGAACGGCAGGCTCACAGACGCTCTGTTCTCAGTGTTTTCATCCCTGGCTAGTCCCACCTCTGCGTTGGGCTCTTCAGGTGGGCAAGAACACAGCCCATGGCCCTATGGACAGGCGTGGGGGTCAGCGGGGGGGGGGTGGCTTCCAGTCTTGTACCACTTCAGACTTGGTCTTTTCTGAACTCCTTAATTCAAATTCCTTGAAAGCACTGAAGTTTCACTTGGAGTTAAAGTACCCATCTCCAAATTTGGCATCTTCTTTTGTACTACAGGGAGTGACATATGTCATATGTCAGTTCTCTCTCTTTCAGCCAAGAGACATCTGGAACAAGGTAGGGTACAAATAGTACCTCTTCTGCAATACCAATTTCTCAACGTTTTCTTTTCTTGACTGAAGCAGAAGGGGAGAAAGGCAGTCAGTGGAGTGCCGCATTCATTATATAAACCCACATGATTCTCAACGTGTCCAATCAGATGTTTTCCAGGCAGCTGTCTGCGGGGGAAGCAGCAAGCCTGTCTTTCATCCCTCTTTAGGCTTTTTGACTTCCTTAGCTGGGTCTTGAGAAGACTTGAGCCACTTGCCTCTAAGAGAGTTTAGAGTAATAAACATCTTAGCCAACACCAGAAATATTTCCATAAAGACCAATATATCTTTCAGAACAAATAGTTTTTCTAAGAGAACATATTAAACAATCAGTGAAAGTGGTTCCATCACAGGAGGCTTCCAGAGCGAGTGCAGAAAGTGGCTCTGTCACAATCCCAGAATCACTCACGGGGAAGTTCCAGGCTGGTTTGCAGGGGATGGACGGTTTCTGGGCAGTGCGTTCTTGTCCGGAGTCTAGAAGCAGAAGGGCTTGGAGGAGGGGGAGACAATGAATATGTATATGTGTATGTACATGTCTACACACACACACACACGCACACGCACATGCAGAATGATTTTCTTCCCCATGTGCACAGGGTCATTTGCAGGAATTTCCTTTGGTCTTCCTGCCTTGCCAAGGGGTGGGAGAATAAAAGTCAAGTACTTTACCTGAGTTTGCTTAATTGACGCTTGTAAATTCCTAAAAGGTAGATACATATTAGCACCATTTTTCAAAATGAAAAAGACAAACAAACTAGTCTGGGAAGTTAGGGAATTCACTAGAATTCACATAGCTTATAAATTTACATAGCATAAAAGCATGGTTTTAATTCCTATTTGGGGGAGCTCCTTAAATTGCCTTGGGGGGGATGAAGGGTGACTGAACATAGATATCTGTAACTAAACTAACCACCTGCAGACACTAAATCTGAAAAATATAATTTTGTTCAGATGAGCAACTGACAAAATCAGCAAAATTCAAGAACCTCATTAAAGTATTGGCTGCCGTGATTTGCTTTGAATCTGGCAGTGTTACTGGTTCTTAGTGTTATAGTCTCGATGGGAAGGCAACCAGCCAAAAGGCCACTTCTCGTGTCCTCAGCTCTTTTTCCAGCCCTTGGGGGTGGTTATGATTTGCTGCTGTGGCTTGCTTTTAAAATTCTTTACCTCATTTTCTACCAGTCCCATGAGGATAAAAGAGATAGGGTAGGAGTAACTTTTTTGTAGTATAAAATCATAAATAAACTCCTACAGTAATAGCTACTCAAGCCAGCCACATCTTTAAGAACTTCTCCTAACCACCTTGTGATTCAAGTGCCATTATATCCACATTTTACAGAAGAGGAAACTGAGGCACAGGAACAAATAGTGAATGGGGTCAGAGCCATGCTCAAACCTGGATCTGCCTGACGTCAGAGCTCACTGTGCTATACTGCCCCTCAGGAGAGATGGCGTTTCCTAAGTCCCAGAGAAAGTGAAGCCTGACTCCTGGTTATGTCACAGGTCACTTCCTAGGGCCTGAAGGACACACACACACACACACACACACAGACACACACACTGAACTCTCTCTCAAAACATATTTTTGATGGGAAGCAGTCCCCGCCTTCTAGGCAGCTTCCTAGATCTGTTTACTCTGAGAAATATGTTTATGACTTGGGCAAAGTACAGGAAGTCATGACTTGTAGACGGGAAAACTAGCCAGAAAAGAGTTCCTCTGAGCAAATAGGTATTTGTAGGGCTTTCCATAGAGGTGGGTTTGTGCATAGGTGTGACTGTGTAGGGGGGGAACCAGTGCCAGCACTGGGGGTGTCAGCTTGGGTTCTCTAGGTTTCTCCCCCATAACAGGATTAACTCAAAAACTTTCTTTCCTTGCAATCCTGAAGAGTTGGGTAATATTGCACCTCTCTGTCCCCAGACAAGCCAGACCCCCCAGCCGGCACGCCTTGTGCCTCCGACATCCGGAGCTCTTCACTCACGCTGTCCTGGTACGGCTCCTCGTACGATGGGGGCAGCGCTGTACAGTCCTACAGTGTCGAGATCTGGGACTCGGTGGACAAGACGTGGAAGGAACTAGCCACATGCCGCAGCACCTCGTTTTACGTTCAGGACCTGCTGTCTGACCGAGAGTATAAATTCCGTGTGCGCGCCATCAACGTGTACGGAACCAGTGAGCCGAGCCAGGAGTCTGAACTCACAGCAGTGGGAGAGAAACCTGAGGGTAAGCTGCCTTCATTTCATCACTGGCTTGAAATAAATGTGCATGACTTGACCTTGTGTGTGTGGAACTTGTACTGAGAGTGGTACAGAGGAATTGGGAAGTCATCGGTGGCGAATGGCAGAGTCTTCTGGGATCTTGATTTCCAAGGTTATGATGTTGACCCATAACTTTAAAAGAACACATAGGACCTTTCAAAAAACGTTGAACCGGCAATTTTGGTGCACTGCCACTAGGGGGTCATCATGTGTTAATCAGGTGCACAGCCCCGAAAGGCAGAAGCTCAGGTAGATGTCAAGTTTCAGCATCCCTGCTTCACCCTCCTCCTTCCTTCTCTTGCACTCAAATTTGAGTGTCTACTCAGAGTCAGGTGTTTGGGACACAAAGAGGTAAGACGTGGAGCTTAAAATCTAACTAGGGGGACAGCTGTGTAGACAGCTAGCTCTAACGAGATGGGCTACATCCTATTCTAGCAGTATAAACAAACTGCAAAAGAGGCACAGCAGAGAGCATGAATAGTTTTGCTATGGAGGTTGAGGAAGTCTTTCTGGAGGAGGTGACACTTAACACTGAGTCTTGGAACAACCAAATGGGCGTCCAAGAGGCAGGGAAGATAAGAGGCATTCCTCACAGAGGAAACAGCATGTGTGAAGGTACAAAGTGATGGAAGTGCATGGCACTTTGAGATGCTTGTGTGTGGCCAGGGCGTGTGATGTGTGGGACAGAGCGGGAGGAAGCAACACTGAAAGGGCGGTTTAGGTAAAATTGCGAGGTTCATCAAAGATCTTCAGGCAGGGGATTGATATGATTAGATCTGTTTGGCTTTTTTTAATGCAACCTAATATTTATTTGTTGTAGCATGCAGACTCCAGCCATCGATAGACCCATGTGTTCCTAAGACTTTTGAAATGTTACCTTTTTTGGATTCGTTTTTTTTTTAATTCTTTTACTATGTAAATTTCAGGTATACCGCATTATAATATGACATCTATATACACTACAAAGTAATCACCACCACAAGTCTAGCTTTTTAGGGAGAGAATAAGAAGAGGAGTAGATCTTCGTTACTCAAAGTGTGGCCTGGATCCCAGTCTTGGGATCTTGGGAGTTTGTGAGAAATGCAAACTCAGCCTCCCACTCCCCTACCGGCTTCTGAACCTTCATTTTAAAATCTTCCACCCCGCCACTCCCCACTCCCATCCCCCCATGGACTTGTATACATATGAAAGTTTGAGAAGGCCTGGAGTGGAGGTGAGGACTGAGATTGCAGTCAGTGAGTCGCCAGTTGGGCCTCTGCGGTATAGCCCAGGAGAGGGATGGTAAGCATGAACTAAAGCCTCGGGAGGTAGAATGGACCATTCTTGATGACTTTTTGAGTAGAGTTCAGGGGAAAAATTAGAAGAGTTTAAGATGAGTTCCAGTTCCTGACTTGGGTAACTGAAAACAAATTCAAGAGCCATTTAGAGGTTTTTTATTATGAGTCATGGTGGTTAACATATATTCAGCACTTGCTATGTGCAAACAATACGTTAAGCACTTTGCATGCATCATTTCATGCATCTAATTCCGTGAAATAGATACTGTTATTACCCCCATTTTGCAAGTGGGAAAATGAGGATTAGAGGAGTGAAGCTACTTGCCCAAGGTCCTACAGAGCTTGTAACTAGTGAGCTGAAACTTGAACTCAAAACTGCCTGACCCAAAGCCTGTGCTTCTTTGGTTAAACTGAAAGAGGAGGTCAGGCTGCCTCCCAATGACTTAGAGGTTAGATGGCAGGGAGTCCAGGAGAAGATGGAAGATCTGAAGTTGGGAGATCTGGTTTCAGTGCTGTTGTGAAGGGACACCAAGGGATAGAGCCATTAGTGAGAGGAAGAGCTTAATCGTGTGAGGCAGAGAAAAGACTGTGGGTGACTAAAGGTCAGGGAGCTGGACCGGGCACAGGTCCTACAATCACCATAGAACCAGAGGCATCATGAGTATGGAAACTGTCGTCACGGTTTGACACCCCTCTTCAGTTTGAAAACTCAGGAGTAACATAGATATTAAAACTTTACCTTCAAATTAAATGAGGGCTCCAGAAAGAAAATTTGGAGGATGCCCATAGAAAAGACAACAAATTTATTCATTTTTTCAGGGCAGCCTTATCTTGGGGGCCTTTATCCCAGTCCTCCTTGAGGACTGCATGTGCACCATGGAGGCGTGATCTGGCCCCCAGGATGGCCCCGGCCGGGCCTCTTTGCAGCTTTCATGAGGCCCACTAGCCACTCACAAATGTCTTCTGGGCAAATGGAGTAACAAAACCACCATCTGCTGCCCTTGCATGCACCCTCCCCACTTTGAAATGAGCAGAGTGAGGAGCAGGCAGGTTAGAGAAGGTGCCAGGAAAGGCAACCAAGTTCCAGTCTGCATGTTTCTAGCATCTTACTTTCTTCAAGAAGAGGATTCCCACCTCTTGGAAAAGTGACAGGGAACAGGATAACATTGCAATGAGAAGATGTTTATTAACTGGAAAGGAAAGCTTCTGGGTCCTTGTGGTGTAAACCAGGAGAAACCGTAGCATCCCCGATGAACCCCACGCAGAAAAACAGAGGCCACTGGAGTGACAAGGTGGCTCCCAGGAGGCCAGGACAGCAGCCCCCAGGGCTATCGGGAGAGTCTATGGGGAGGGGTGGCTGGGACCTTTAGCTTCCAGGCAGGTGTCCTCTCCTTTCTTTCCTGCAGCCAGCTGAACCCCCTCTGTAGTCCTCAGACTCTCCCCTGGGGCCCCTCCTGACTGGGAGCAGACAAAAGGAAGTGTTGAAATAGCCTGCAATCCAGAGGAGGGGTCCAGGCCACCCAGATCTTCCAGACTGGAAGCCGCTCCCACCCCCAGGCCCAGCTGGACTATCCAAGCAAGAAGAGGGGGGAGGGGCAGAATAGTTGGCCAGCTTTAGGCCTGAAGGTCAGGATGGAGGGCGGTGGGAGGGTCAGGGTAAGAGGTGAGGATTCAAAGCGAATCCCTCTGTGGACTGCTCATGTGCTTGTTAGTTATAACCTGAGTAGGTCATCTCTCTCTACTTGAAAAGGAAGATGGCTCTCAGATAAGTAGGGTGTGTATGTGCACGTGTGTGTGTGTATGTGTGTGTGTGTGTGTGTGTGTGTGTGTGTGTACACACACGCATGTAGGGGAGGGATGGGATAAGTGGTTATGGTAGGTCATTTCTGTGGAGCCAAGTGGGGTATGGTGGTCATCAAAAAGGCAGTGCTAGTTAACCCTCCCTCCACTAAGCCCAGCTAATGCTGGCTGTCACCTTCCCCACTGCCACCACTGCCCCCCTGCCTCTGCCTTTGCAACTTCAGTCTTCTGCTTCTTCCTGACCTCTCAATTCCACCCCTGTTTGCACCCCAGCCAGCTCCAATGGCCTCCTTATGCCCCAGCTACCCCTCTAACTAGGATCCCTTACCCACTGCTCCCCTCCCCATCTTCCCAAAACTGAGTAAACAGCCCCCCCTCCCCCAACACAGCTGCCCTCTCCCATCCCAGCCAGGTCTGGATCTCCACTCCCAGCCTACTCAGCTCTAACTCATAAATCCATTCTGTCCTTCCTTACTCTTGATGGTAATTTGTTCTACTGTATAATAGCTGTTACCAAACAGCTGTGATAAAGGCTTCTTGCAGAGTTGGGACTTCCTTACAACCCCGAGATGCAGAGCCTGAAAAGCCCAAGGGCCAGAGAACAGCCCCTTGCCCAGTGCTGCTCACCCTGCCCTAAGCTACAGCTAAACTGGCCCTCAGAGGTCCTCTCTGGTGCTGAGGTGCCCCCTAGTGCCCGGTGGGCATAAAACAGCCCTCGGCCTCAAAGGGACAGCTCTCTGTCCAGGGCTGACTAGACAGATATGCAGTCTGAGTGTCTTGAGCGTTCAGCTGGTCCTCTCCCAAACACCATTCCAGGGCAATGATGCTCACCTGTCTGCAGAAATATCTGAGAGCCATCGTCCACATCTTGGGTCATCAGTAAAGTCGTGACACATTTTTGCATTGAAAACCAGAAAAATACGTCATGATTTTCCCAACGACTCAATAGTTCTTTCACTTAGCGCTTGGATCTCATAGCTCTTTCTAAATAGATTTTTAAATGTTTTCTTGAAGTCCTTCCTACTGTAGTTGAGCTCCTTGCTTGGTGGAGAGATGCAAATGGAGTGATCACCTTTCTCATCACTACAACCCTTTATGCTTGAAGAGCTTGGCCAGCTGAACTGTGGTCTTCCCCCAGCTCCTCTACTGCCTTCCCCTTGTGGCCATTCCTCCCAATAGAATGGAGGCAGGACGGATCAGAAGGAAAAAAAGAAAGGGCACCATCTCAGCCTGGAGCCTTGGTCTGAGTTTCACACAGGGGAAAGGAGGCCATGTACCAGTAGGTCCCCACAATCAAAGTGTCAGGAAATCCTTCTGCACCTTGATTGCCAAGGAGAGAGGCAGGAGGGTAGGGGCAGGTGTGGTGTCTGTGGTGAGGGCAAGAAGGCTAGCTCTGCGGTTTCTAACTGGTGTCAGAGTGAACTGGAGAGGCCACTTCTACAACTGCATGCCCTCCTCAGGGCCTATGGGGAAACGCCCCCTGGGTGACAGGTCATTGGAAAGCCCCTCATGGCTTACAGCACTGCTGCTACTCCTTCACTAGGGAAGTACAGATGGTTCCTCCCAAAGATGCCAGGCCCCAAAAGCCTGTCTCCTCTTTTCTGTCTCGTCTTGCTGCTCAATCCACACCAGGATATGTAGCACAGGAACAAAAAGACGAGGGATGCCTTAGCACGTCAAACAAACCCTTGTCTCAGATAGGGGCACCATGGGTCGGGACGATGGGGTCTCCCAACAATAAAACGTTATTACTATTGTTATTTTGTGTCTAAGGCCCCATCCAGTGACTGGCAGCCCCCCGGTGCTCAATTAATGACAGTTGAATTGATTTGAACCTCTTGCTTCCTTTAAAGCCCTGTTTGAAATACCATTGTTGAACTAACATCTGTAGAACCTATTTATTGTTTTTATGGTACCTCTTGAGATATGAGTTCTGTATGCTTACAGCCTTTTTTCTATATGAAGTATAACACTAAATTGTTCTCTCAGGCAATAGTAATCATTAGTAGATAAAAGTCCATAACCCTAATCTCACCCTTGGCAATTGTGATTTTTTTTTTATCATGTCTGCTTTAGACTTCTTTCCCAGCCAGAGAGGCCTAACCTTTTCTGATCATCTACACATGGCAGGCCTTTTTTTTTTTTATTGTTAGTTTCAGGTGTACAGAACAATGCAATAGTTATCCTTTTCACCCTCACAAAGTAACAATGCCCCTCTCCCCATCTATTGCCCTCCCCCCCCCGATATCATGCTTATCTATTACAATTCCATTGAATCCGTTCCCACTCTCTACTCCATGTCCCGTGACTATATGTATATATAATTATAGTTGACATACAATATTATTCAACATCAGCTTCAGAAATACAGTGCGGTAGTCAGGCCTCTACACCGACTATGAAATGGTCTCCCCCACAAGACATGAGTCCATCTGGCCCCTAAGAAATATTTACAACATTATTGATTATATTCACCAGAGTGTCTTTTTCTATCCCTGGGCCTTTTTTTTCAATGGCCCTGCATACCTCCTCCAGCCCCATTGTGACTTTCTAAGTGCCAACAGCCAGAGTTCCAGGAGCAGATGACCCCAGCCTCTACCATGGGCAGAGTAATACTGCCTGTCTGTGGCCAGTGCACATTTCCTCATGACGGTGTTCTGTTGGCCAGAGCAGTAGCTTGAGAAACTGGGCTCCCATGGTTGGGTTTTAGCTAGATACCCTGGGGCTTATCACACCTAAAAAGTTAAATGATCAAATTCTCCATGAACACGTGACTCCATTACTGCCATCCAAGGGGGTTGCTCTCAGGTGCCTTCTGGTCATCAATGAACTTCACAATGTCACTCTGAACTCTCAAGTAGGTAATTTAGAAGACTTGATCAGTTAAGCTCACATCCTGGCAATAGCTCTGAAACCCCTTCACTAATCCTGAGAATCCCATCTATTTATCCTTTTTTATTTTTCCATGGCATTTTCCTTTCCATGACAACATATTCCTCCCAATCCTACTCATGTTTAGTTTTCTAAAACTAAACTTCGTCAATAGCATTTTAAGAACTCTAAACAAATCACAGCCTCTCTTGCTCCTGGCCACATGCTTATAAACTTCCTCAAAAGGGTACTTACCTCGTATGAGGACCCATATTAGTTTTTCTCAGATTCTTTGCTTAGGTTTCAGTAATTTGTTCTGTCCTTAGCCTAATAGAGAGGCTCACTGTCTAGAGTTCCCAGAGGCACCTTCTCCCCAACCCACACCTCCATTGCAGACATGCAGCATGCAAAACACGCAAAGCTCTGAGCACTTGCACACAACCCCTCCTGGCTTGGCCGGGTCTGACTCACTCCTGCGCCCCATCTACTCTTGTCTTCCTCCTAAGAGATCATCCAGGTGCTGTGCCCTTTCTGTCCTCAGTCTTGCTCTGATGGGATTGTCAGCAAATCACACCCTTTCCCCAACTCTTATACACACACACACACACACACACACACACACACACACACACTTTTAACTCCTTGTACTTCCTCTCAAACTTCTCTCAAGTCTTTGTCTCCTGAGGAAACCTCCCTTAGCTCCATCTGTCAGCTAGAACACAGCCCACATCATGGTTGATGGGTACAAAGCACATTATAAAGCATGGTGTCTAGAGCTAGCCAGGGACCTCAGAAATCACCTGAAAATGTAATCCCTTCCTTCTACAGATGAGGAAACAGAGGGAGGTCCAGAAAAGGAAAGACACTTAGCCAAGGTCAAAAGGCTAAAGTGGCTCTATAGGGACAGACCTAAGCCAAGGCAAAGGAAAACACATCCAGTGGGGATGTGTTCTGCCAGACACCTGCCAGCCTCCTCACATCCCCCATTCACTCCTGACACATTTGTGTTGCAGCCAGCATGGCTGCTTATGTCCCTCCTCTCCATACCTCACAAATGCCTGTGGGCTGCGTTGTGTGATGTCACCCACCTCCTCATTGTGTTCCATCATTTCCTTTAAGTCACAACTCAAGGACTGCTTCTTCTGAGAATAACTCCTCTGACTTTATAATTGCCCCATTTTGTGTCACCTCTCTCCACTGTGTACTGTGACATTGTGTGCTTGATTATATTACACTTGTCATGGGTATTTCAAGTTGTGTGTTTTTGCCTCTCTAATTAAGTGATAAGCTCAGAGAAAGAAGGAGAGACTATGCCTGTGTGTACTTTGTTTCGTATGCCCACAGGAATTGCCCAGATACTTGGTACATGGCTGGAATTCTGTAAAAACGCTCAGTAAATGGATACATGGATTTGACACGAGTAGCAATCATAAGTCGCTAACTTTCAAGCCAGAGCAGAAAGGGACTACCATAGTTATGTGTAGGTTCTGAAAGCCAGAAGGACGGCAGAGATGTGAAGAAGAGTACGTTTAAGGGACCAGAAGTTAGAGAGGAAGGAAGGAGCTAATGGAGGATGGGGGCTGGTGGAACCAGGAGGCCAGTGCCTGTCGGTGTGCACACGGCCCTGTTGTAGCATGGACTGACCTATCCCATGGCGATGCCCAGAGCTCTGGGCTTGATGATCTTGTGCCTGGCAAGGCTGAGGCTTGACAGGCCACTAGCAGGCTTTGTTCTCAATGGGCCTTCAGTACTAATCACCCATGTCCCCTCTGCCCCTCTTTGTCTCCCCCTCCAGAGCCTAAGGATGAAGTGGAGGTGTCAGATGATGGTGAGTGCTGGCCACCTGTCCTCTGGCGGGCTCGAGGGGTGGGGGGTGAGCGAGGGGCCTGATGGCTCACACCCACCCCGACCCCCACCCTGCAGATGAGAAGGAGCCAGAGGTTGATTACCGGACGGTGACAGTCAATACCGAACAAAAAGTGTCTGACTTCTACGACATCGAAGAGAGACTAGGATCGTAAGTGGAGTGGGAAGTGCCCTGTGGGCCCCCAGCGTGAGGGTGGTGCAGGTCCCACAGTTTAATTCCATGCCTCGTCTTCCTGTCTTTTCCTGGGTTCTGCCAACTCCCCAGACTGAGATTCCTGCAGAATCAGGAGGGATTGACCATGTCACCCCACACACACACACACATTCACACACAAAAAAGTGTCACCCACCCCAGGCTCGCTTAGGAGGTGCCCATGCAGCTGCCCCAACTCTGCAAAAGGCTTGGGCAAGTCCTTCCTTTTCTCCACACGGAACAAACTGAGGGGACTGAGTCTGGATCAGACTGTGTTTAGGATCCTCCTGTTTGACCCACAGAAGGCAGTCAAGCCTGATCTGTGCTCACTGTTCAGCAATTCCAACTTTAGCACTTCAGGAAAATGCACATCCTTGAAATGCACAGCTGGCTATTACCGCTCACTTTATGAACTTGGGCCACACAGTTTACTCTGGATCCTCCCTGGGGTGTGGACCCCAAACCTGAGCCCTCATCACAGCAAAGCTGACCCCTCCAGCAGCAGCACCCCAGGCTGTCTGTCTCATGCTAATGCTGTATCCCTGGAGGAATATGGGAGGTGAAAGGAAAATAAGGGAGCTCAGCTTTTACTCCCTGTAAGGGACACCATCTTCATAACAGGCTCTGCAAGGAGCCTGCACCTCCCATGGGAGCTGTGTCAGGATCACCACAACCCCCCGTGCCCGCAGTGGGAAGCAGGGGCCCTCCTGAGAGTGGGGTAGAATGAAGGTAGCCACTCAGACATTCTCTGGGTTTGGGGAGGACTTCCTCAACCCAACTTCATGGTCCCTCTGCAGAGAAGGGGAGAAAAGTCGGACAGCCAAGCTTGAGGCCTCCCCAAGAAGCTGACAGCTCTGAAAGAACAGCAAGACCAGCCAGTGTTTGGGTGGGGATGCAAGGGCAGGCACATTAATATTGACAAGTAATGGCGAAGAGAGTAGGTTTGCAGTATTAAAAATGCATGTCAATGGGGGTGACAAGTTAGCTCAGTTGGCTAGAGCATGGTGCTGATAACACCAAGGTTGCTGATTCAATCCCCACATGGGCCACTGTGAGCTACACCCTCCTTAAAAAAAAAAGTCAACTGTGCCATTGTAGCATGAAAGCAATGTGTAACCAATGGCATGGCTGTTCCCCAATAAATTTTTTTTTAAATGCACTTCATTGATCTAGAGTAGGGGCTGGCAGACTTTTTCTATAAGGGGCCAAATAATGGATATTTTAGGTTTTGTGGGCCATACAGTCTATGCTGTAACTATTCCGGTGCACATTCAAACGCAAAAGCATCCCTAGACAATATGCACACAAATGGGCTAGGCTGTGTTCCAATAAAACTTTATTTATAAAAACAAGTGGGCCGGGTTTATCCCATAAGCCATAGTTTGCCAACCCCCATTTAAAGGAAAACTTGGCTAAATTTGCCTTTTCTCTCCTCCTTTCATTTGCAGTGGAAAATTTGGACAGGTCTTTCGACTTGTGGAAAAGAAAACTAGAAAAATCTGGGCAGGGAAATTCTTTAAGGCATATTCGGCAAAAGAGAAAGAGAACATCCGGCAGGAAATCAGCATCATGAACTGCCTCCACCACCCCAAGCTGGTCCAGTGTGTGGATGCCTTCGAAGAAAAGGCCAACATCGTCATGGTCCTGGAGATGTGAGTGGCCTGCCTCCCAGGCACTGTGGGCTTAGGAGTCCCTTCGTGTGTCTCCCCCACTGTCCCACCTCAGCCCCTCTGCTACAGGCAGGGGTGTGATATGCAAGATACTCACCAGCCCATATAGCCACATACTGACCACTCAGAGCACTCTGTGCACGGCACTGGCCCTGATCCTGACCCTGACTGGCCCACTGCAGCCCTCTGCTCATTTCCATCACAAACAGGCAGATCTTTGAGGACCCCTGCCCTCTTTCCCCTCTCACCTCCCTGTGAAAGAGCCAAGGCTATCTACCCCCAGGTTCCTTGGTTTCATTCAGGGGCTCCTGACCTGGAGGTGGATTTAGAGTAGAAGGTGAGGGATGGAGCAATTTCCTGACTAGCTTGGGAAACAGAAGGGGACCCAGGGCTGGGAGCTCAAAATGCAGGAGTGTAACCCTTGCTCCCATCCTCTCGCTATGCTCTGCATGCTCCCATCCTCGCTTGTTAGTAGTCTCTTGACTTCTCGCCAAGAAGAGTGCTTTCTGTGCTGGGTTGTGTATGGGCAGAGGAATGAATCTGATGACCTCCAGCTAAGGCTATCCTTTTCCATTGTTTCCTCTAGTCCCATTGCTCCACCTCTCTCACATCTGAGCTGCTGGCATGCACACACACACACACACACACACCAACATGCACACACATACGCGCACACACACACAACACAAACATACACACACACAAACATGCACACACACGTGCACACACACATATGCGCACACAAACATACGTGCACACACACAAACACTTGCATACACACACAAACGTGCACGCACACACAAACACACACATCACAAATGTACATACTGATGTCAGTAAGCCAGACGTCCTCCACAATATCTGTGTTTTTGAAGAGTTTCTTTTTCTTTCTCTAATCTGAATTTTTTTTAAAATATATGGTATTATCACATCAAAAAACGTAAGAATATATGCAATGAAAACTCCCATTTCTACTCCTGTCCTCCATCTACCCTGTTCCTACCCCACCACACTGGGAACAAATTTTGTTGGTTTTGTCTGCATTCTTCCAAAGTGTCTTTATGAATATACAAGCATATATGATACATACATACATTCACATTTTCCCACCTTTTAACACAAAGGTAACTCATACTCATACTCTATATTTTGCTTCTTTTCATTCAACAGTTTATCTTGGAGACAGCCCCGAATCAGTAGCCAGTGAGCTTCCTCATTCTCCCTGCTCCATGGGACGTCATCACATGCATAGACCACATATTCAGGCAGTCTTCTTTTGACAGGAGGTTGGATGATCTCTAGGCTGTTGCTTTTACAGACTAGCAGTGTTTGTAACCTTGTCCGTACATCTTTTCACTTGCACCTGTGTACACCTGTAGGCTAAATTCCCAGGGTGTGGTAATGCTGGATGAAAGGGTAGGTGCATTCGAAATTTTGAGAGATATTGTGCAATTGCCTGCAGCATTCCTTGTGTTATTTCTCCCCAGCATCAGGGATTTCAGTCCTTTGGCGAGGACACTATCACCATCTCCATGTTCTTTCCCAGGCAAGGCGAGGGCATCGAGGCAGCCCCAAACTTGAGGCGTGAACTCCTCCCCTCACTCTGAAAATGTTTTGATGTGTTCCTTTCAGTTTATGTCCTGTAGGAAAGGCAGTAGTGGGTAATAGCACAGGCTTGAATCCGATAAACCTCACCTCTGTCCCAACTCCGCCTCTTACTTGTTGTGTGACCTGGAACAAGTTACTCAACTATGCCAAAGCTTAGTTTTATTATCTGTAAAAGGAGCCTGTAAACTGCCTCATAAATATGTGGGAATTAAATAGAAGAACGTATGGCAGGCACAGTGCTCTGTAATTGAGAGTTATTCTTGGTAGTAGGATGCACTGACTTTTCCTGTACCCTGGCCTTTTTTTCCACTCAGAATTATTTTGTGAGCATTTTAACAGCCAGCTAGGCACTGTGGAACAAACCCCACTATTCAGATTCTGTTACTGTTGAGCAGTGATTTTGTACTTATTAAATCCTTCCAGTGAGGACAGGTATTTGAATTAGACTCCCTTTTGGTTCTAAAATTCTCAAATTCTGTGGAACTGTGTAAAAGATTCAAAGGAAATCTTCATTCGTATCTTAGACTGTATTCAGCCCCAAATTCAAACCCACCTCCCCACTTCCAAGAAAGATTTATCTGTGTCTGTGGCCTCACTTGTTACACCCTCACGATACCCCTGTGGGCTGCAGTTTTTCACGTTTATTCTAGAACAGGTTGCTTGGTCCAGGCAGTGTGGGTGTGTGGGAAACATGTAAAGAAATGTATTATCTTTAGAAGTTAAACCTTGAGCAAGTTCACAAGGGGGTACAAGGAGGGGGTAGAAGGCAGCCCAGCCTGGGTAAGACCGGGTGGCAGGACCAGTGGGCAGAATACCATACTTAGCTCGGAATTGGGAGTTGGCAAGCTGGATGGAAAATGTTGGGAGAAAATGTAAGAAGGCTTCAGCTGTTCTGGCTTTCATCCCTCCACTCTATGCCTCCCCCAAGGACAGGCTCAAATCTTTCATGCACAGATGCCAGAGGATTCACCTGCACTTGGGGTAAGGAGCTTGCCCCCTGGTAAGAGCTCAACCAAAGAAGAGAGAGAAGATTCATACTCAATCTGTACTTCCCTTCCAGCTTAAACAGACTTGGCCACAGAGAGTGCAGAGGTTGGCTTTCAGCAATACAATTTGCTATTCTTGTTTGAGAAACTGACATTAAGAGAAGGACAATGCCTGGTGATACAGAAAAATGAAAATGCATTCCAGAGTCCGAGCCTTGAGTTCAGCTGCCTTAGATACAGTGAGAAATAAGAAGTATTGTGCCGTCAGCCTTTCTGACCTCTGATTACAGGACAAGCCCCTGTCACTATCGCAGCATTGCTCTGAGACTGGGGCTGCTTTAGGCTCCTGGCCCGGGAGTCTGGGCTTGTCCTTTGGGGAGTGCTCTGGACATTCCAAGCAGTGGTGGGACCCTGAGCACTAGAGATGTGAAGTTTAAGCTGAGTCATCCATGGCCCATCACACCTTTGCACTACCATTGGCATCCAGAGCCAATCAAAGAGCATCCAGCTTGTTGCCATGAGACAAGGAGTTAGAGAATCTGGTACCAGGTTGCCTGAGACACCATTCCTTCTGGCTGCCAATGAGGGCTGGCAAGGCCTACAGTTTGGGGGATAAATTTGATCCCTTGTGATTAGCTATCCTTGGTAGTAGGTATTCATTCATTCATTCATTCATTCACTCACTCATTCATTCACTTACTCACTGTTAAGTTATTAAGCACACATTTCCTCTGGCCCAGTTTTGGCCGTTGGCATTATCTAATCTCTGAGGGTGGTGGTTTATTTCCAGCCAATACTGTCCACCCATAGTCTCGAGTGTTTTGAATAAAACCTATAGAACAATTAATCCTGTTTGTGTAACCCCTTCCGTCCTAGACAATGGACCATAGGAACAGTTTTCAAAATATATTAAATATATTTGAGTAGGTTGAACCTTTTTGAACCTAGATTGAATAGAATACCTCTAGAAATGTAGCAGTAATTATCTCCAGGACTGTGATTTCTACTACTCATTTCCTCAGATGTTTCCAAGGGCACTGCAAAAAATGGTTGCTTGCTTTTTTCAGAACTGATCATAAGAATGACTTGGCATACTTATTTAAAATATCGATTCTCAGATCCCTCCCAAGATTTTCTGAATCAAAATCTCCAGGAGTGGAGCTTGGGAGTCTGTATTTTCAACAAGAGCCCAACAGGTTCTTTAAAAAAAGATAATTAACATTATTGAGTACTTACTAAATGCTAGGCACTCTTCTAAGCACTTTAGGTGTATTAATTCACTCAGTCTTTACAGCAACCCTGAGAGGTGGTACTATTTTTATCTGTGTCTTACAGATGAAGAAATTGAGGCACAGAGATGTTAAGAATCACCTGTGACCTAAGATCGGAGATGAGTTAGTTTGACCTGGAGCCTGGGTGGAGGGCTTGAGGATAGATCTGCCACCTGCTGGCCGCCTAAGGACCTCCATCTTGTTTGGTTCTAAAGGGTCGGTTCCAGTGCCCCCCAGCGGCCACTGGCCCAGAAAGATACGCATTTCCTAGCCTAGCAGGTCCTGAAGTGAAAGTGGTTGTCACGTGGTGATGAAGGCCAACCTGATAGAGGCTGGTATGCTGGGCCCCAGGGTGCGCTCCTGTCTGTCTCTCCCTGAGGGGTCAGTGACAAGACCAACTTGGCGATAATATGTGCTGAGCACCTGCTGTGTGTTAGGCATGATGGTTTACAAAACTTCATTCCTCACAACTCTATGAGGTAGGGACAGTTAAGGAAACGGGGGCTCAGAAAGGTTAAGAAATTTGCCCAAGGTCACATAGCTGGTAAAAGGTAGAGACAGAATTCATACTGAGCTATTTCCCTTCTTCATAATGATTCTCCTTAGAAAAGGGAAGGCCCTTGGGAAAAGAATGACCCAGAGCAAAGCCCACCCAGCCTTGTTCAGCGGGTAGACCTACAGGCCGTTGTAGAAAAGAGTTTACTGATGTCTGGATGCTACATTAAGTTACCAAGGAGATACTTTAAACTTTCCGAGCAGCAAGCTAGGAGGGCAGGTTGGAGGTCTGGGACAGGAAAACAGAGAGCACCCATGAGACGCAGGCAGCGAGGCTGTGCATCTGCACTAGAGCAGTCCTTAGCAGAAGATGCCAGCTGTAGGCCCCAGAAACACCGTGGCCGGGATCCAAAGTCTATTCAGGCAGGAAGGATGTACATACTTTCAGCCTAGGCAAGGGAGCAGGCGAGATGAGTCAGTCATGGCTGGAAGGAGTAAACTGATACTATAGGCCTAGCCAGAGGAAACAAATCAATCACAGCTATAAGTATAATGGGTTACAGCCAGCGGATTTGCTGAGGCTCATTATTGAAGATACTTTTCTGATCCTGTGAGTATTATTTTAAGCTTCGATTCTCATACTAAAAGGCCTGGCTAGGGTACAAGAATGATCTCTTACACATCTAGTCATTTGGGGAAAGGAAGCTGCCTGGCGGTACTGTTTTGCTAAGGAGATCGTGTATGGATCTCTCAGTTCATGCCCACCTCTGACACTGCCCAGCCTAGGTGCTTCCCTAAATACCCCAACAGCTTAGTGGGCACAGGCAGAGTCCCCCAAGCAGGAAAGCAGGGGGCCTTGTGTGGGACCTCCCCACACAATGGACGACTGGGACCAGTGTACCAGGGCAGTGGTCCAGGACTCAGGAAGCTGCAGAAAGTCCCCAGCACCCTCCTATCCTGGGCTTTCCTGCCGATGTCCCCGCCCCCCAGCCTGCCCTTGGCCAGACTCCTTGCCAGCCTGGCCTCCGTGATCCTGTGGTCTGACCACCCCTTCTGTTCCCACAGCGTGTCGGGGGGTGAGTTGTTTGAGCGCATCATCGACGAGGACTTCGAGCTGACTGAACGAGAATGCATCAAGTACATGAAGCAGATCTCGGAGGGCGTGGAGTACATCCACAAACAGGGCATCGTCCACCTGGACCTCAAGCCTGAGAACATCATGTGTGTCAACAAGACCGGCACCAGGATCAAGCTCATTGACTTCGGTCTGGCCCGAAGGCTGGGTAAGGCCGCTCCGCCGCTCCTGTTGTCACCAACACATAGTGGCAGCACCTGCGGCTGTGTTCCACACACTGCGCACTAGAGGGGATGCACAGAATTGGAGTTAAAATCAGAGACTGCGGGGGGCGGCTCAGGTTCAAATCTTGCCCCTACCACTTACAATGGGACTCTTAAGTCTCAAATTTCTTATTTGTAAAATGGAATAATAGTAGTACCCACCTCATAGAGTTGTTAGAGGGAGGAAATGAGTTAATGTAGATAAAGTGATAAGAGAGTGCCTTGCACATAGTAGGCACTATGTAGATGTTAGCTATTTATTATTATTATTATTATTATTATTATTATTATTATTATTATCCCCTCTTATATTTTTCACTCTGGTGCCTTCAGCAGATGGTGCTTCCTCACATTTGCACCTTACTATAGTTTCTAGAGCACTTTTACATGCTTTCTCTCATTTGATTCTCACAGCAACCCTGTGAGGTAGGCAGGGCAGATTTTATGAGCCCCAGTTCAAATACTAGGAAACCGAGGTTCACAATAGCTTTGCCCAGCAGGTCCCACCATGAGCCAGGGGAGGTGCCGGGGCTAGAATAGGACCCAGACCCAGTACAGGCTTCTGCAGCTCGCCTGCTTTCCTGCACTGGGGTGGGGGTTGGTGATGAGGGAAGGCAGTCACGGCCGTGGTACCCAGCCCTGAGGTCATATTGGTGGGTGACTGTTGGCCTCACACACCGCCTAACACCCACCCTGCCTATAGAGCATTTTGATATCTCAGGAATTGAGGAAACAGCCTCCCCCTGCCCCTCCTGACCAATGAATGCCCTGTCAGCAAGGAGCCTGAGGACTGGCGCAACCTGGCCTTTCTTTCACTGCACTGCTGGGAGCTAATGCCACCTGGTAAATCTCCCAGGTTGCCCAGGCCTGGTTAAGGCCANATGAGCCCCAGTTCAAATACTAGGAAACCGAGGTTCACAATAGCTTTGCCCAGCAGGTCCCACCATGAGCCAGGGGAGGTGCCGGGGCTAGAATAAGGACCCAGACCCAGTACAGGCTTCTGCAGCTCGCCTGCCATTCCTGCACTGGGGTGGGGGTTGGTGATGAGGGAAGGCAGTCACGGCCGTGGTACCCAGCCCTGAGGTCATATTGGTGGATGACTGTTGGCCTCACACACCGCCTAACACCCACCCTGCCTATATAGCATTTTGATATCTCAGGAATTGAGGAAACAGCCTCCCCCTCCCTCTCCTGACCAATGAATGCCCTGTCAGCAAGGAGCCCGAGGACTGGCGCAACCTGGCCTTTCTTTCACTGCACTGCTGGGAGCTAATGCCACCTGGTAAATCTCCCAGGTTGCCCAGGCCTGGTTAAGGCCATGTGATTCATAAAGAAGAAAGTGAGGGAGTGAGGCCCTGCCAGGCAGTGTCTCACCTGGTGGTGGGCACCCAGATGCTGGCTGAATGTGCCTGCTCTGCTGCTCTCTCCAGCTGAAGGCACAGTGTGGGCCACTGCTGGAGTATAGGGCCTGCCTTCGGGCAGGAACCACTAACAGTTTAAACAAATAGGGTGCCATTGGCCTGGGGAACTGGCAGTGTCAGAGCCCAAGGAACACAATGTACAGGCTTCCTTGGTGAGGGGATATGTGGGGACAGGGTGTCCTCCAAGGACCAGAAAGCTGGGAAAGTTAAAATGTAGCAGGAATGGTTCAGATTAGAGCCGGTGCAAAGCTTCCATGTCCAAGGGCCATTAAATGCTTTGCCTTAGAACATTTGTTGTGGGCTCTATATTTAAATAAGACCAGGTACAGCCCACAGGCCAAAGGTGTGCCACCCCCTACTGCTGACGAGTCTTCCAGGAGCTGTGAAAGCTCGTATCTGTGTGCAGACTTCTGGGCATCTCTGGTCCCTTATGGGGCACCATCTTTTGGGGTTAAGGTTTTTCCTGACTATCCTCCCGGCAGCTCCTGGGGGAGATATGATACTACATGTAGAGAAGCCATGGAGGAGGGGAACATGGCTCAGGAGTCGGGCCACCTGGGTTTAGGTCCTGACCCCCACTATTAACTGGGTGGGTAATTCCACCCCCTAGGTCCCCCTGTCCTCCTTGGGAGCTTGCCGGGGTGGGCGGGGGGGGGGGTCATACCTTCCTCTTAGGGTTGTTGAGAATATAAGTAGGAAAGTCCTTATAAAGTAGGCAGCAGGGTTCATAGGACATAGTGAATGTCGGAGATGATTATCAAGCACAGGTCACAGCCCCTGAATCAGGGCATTCATGGGAGAGGCAGACACATGAAAGAGCACTCAGGGGCAGGGCCTTTAATGGCCTCTCCCCCCACTCCACCCCCACCCCACCGAAGACACTTGAGGTGACTCTGTGGCTTGTCGGTTTCACCGGTGTGTTGATGCACTTGTTTACGGGGAGACCAGTGTCTCTGTGCCATTCTCCAGGGAGAGAGCAGCTGAGGGCCGGGCCTCATCTGTGTCCCTCCTGGGCACACAGATGACGGCGCTCGCTTAGCATGGGTGGGCTCCCAGATGTCCTCGTGATTGACCCCTCTCCATCCCCGTTACAGAGAATGCAGGGTCTCTGAAGGTTCTCTTTGGCACGCCGGAGTTTGTGGCACCCGAAGTGATCAACTATGAGCCCATTGGCTACGCCACGGACATGTGGAGCATCGGGGTCATCTGCTACATCCTGTGAGTCTCAGGGTACACAGGGAAGGGGAGCGGAGAGTCCTGCAGGGGGGAGGGGGCCCTAATGTGGAAGGAGCCAGGGTGGCTCGTGATGGGGGGCCCGCCCCAGAGTTAGGAGGGCGGCAGCCTCCCATCTTAACCCCCGGCCTGCTCTTCCCGTGCTCACATGAGGTCAGCAGCCCCTATAGAAGTGCTAGGTCTGCCCCGAGGTCTGCTTTCTGGGGACCCTCCCCACCCTTGCCGCCGGCCAGCCTGGGGCCTTTGGTCAGGAGGGCGGGAATGTAATTTACCTTCACTTGTGTAGGTGGGTCCATAGAGGAGGGAGGGAGACCAGGGGTACATCTCCCGTGGACGTCATCATTGTCTTCAGAGGACAGCACCCCAACCTCACTGCAGAAGGACCCCAGCTGCCAGCCTCATCTCTGAGTCCAGTATATGGGACGATTAACAAACTTTTGATGACAGAGCCTTCAATGAGGCCAACAGACTACAGAAAGCCATGCAACGGAACTGGGAAATCAGGTGGAAAATACGAAGTCATTTCAGTTAACAGTGCTGGTGAAAAAGAGGGGAGGCCAGTAATCTGGGCCACTGCTCCCCAAACAGTAACATGCATGAATCACCTAAGCCTCTCCTTAGATTGCAGGGTCTGATTCAGAAGGTCTGGGGTACGCAAGAGTCCACATTCCCAGAAGAGTCCAGGTTGCCCAGGCTGTAGAACACACCCTTTTGATGGGATCGTGCCGGTTTAATCTCTGAAGCCTGAGACTGCAGACAGCCATTGCCTCAGAGGCAGCCCCTGAACATGGGTGACCACATTCATTAAAGGATGGCCTCCCAGAAGGTGCAGATATGCATGCACTCAATTTTTAAAAGTATTTTTTGTTGTTAAAGCAAAAGGAAACATGAAGCGCTTTCATAGAAAATTTGAGGAGGACCCCTAAAATACTTTCTTAGAGCCCTGGGGTCCTCAGACCCCCGTGTGGGCAATGGCTCTAGGTGGCTGCTGCACTGCCAGGTTTAGGAACCACTGTTACAAACATGTTAGCAGAAGTGGAGTGATTTTTTTGTGCAGCGTGGCTTTTTCACATGCTCAGGAGTTTTACTCTCATGGTGGCCTGTTAGGACATCTTCCCTCAGTTGAATCTGTGTCATGGATTCTGTACCCCAGAGAGTCATCCTCTTCCTTGCCCGGTATCACCCCCCTACCACCACAGCCTCCCTCAGAGCAGCAGAGAAGCCCCTGGCCAGGTATTTCCCTGCCTCTCCCTCCCCTACCCCACCCCCGGAGAAAGGGAGCTATGAGTGAACAAAACCACACCTGATTCTGGAGTCCTGGCTTCTTGGTAAGAAGAAACAGCAGGCTGCTTCTGGGGCTGCTGCAGGCTGGATGGTGCTCACACTGGACCTTGGGGCCCTGGATGAGACCCCTGACCTTGAGAAACAGTCTTGGGTCAGCTGAATAGACCAACAGTCTTTTGGTCTATTCAGACCCAGCTGCCCTGGGGCCTGGCTTCATCCCTGGGTCCCTCTGCAGCTGTCAAGGAGCCGTATCCCACTGTCTCCATTGGTTTTCCTACTACTGGGGGATTGCGATCATTTGCAGCCATGGATTTTCACATGGGTTCTTGTTAAATCCTCAGAACAAACCTGGGAGTGGGTCATGGCAGGGATTTGCTCTTCATCTGGCATTGAGGTGACCTGAGCCAAGGAATCCCACGTGGCTGCCCATTTCCTACTGCCCTAGAGGGTGACCAAGCCATCCCAGTCCACCCAGGACTGACAGGTTTCCTAGGATACAGGCAAAGTGCTAAAGCGAGGACAGTCCTGGGCAAGCCAGGCGACTGGTCTCCCTCGTGGTCAGGGACAGAGCAGCGTCTAGACTGCTCAATTAATTTTCGCAGTGAACACACCCACATAACCTATACTCAGATCTTAAACCAAACACTACCTGGGCCCCCAGGTTCCCCTCCCAGGTACTATCCCCCCAGATATAACTGTAATCCTTGTGTCTAACATCATGCATTAGTTCTGCTATTCTTTAATTGGATAGAAACGGAACCCTACAGAAAGAAGTGTCTGGCTACTTTTCCTTAACACCGACTGTGAGACCCGCTCATGTTGCCGTGTGCAGTTGTGGACTGCTCATTCTCGGTGCTGTGTAGTGGTCTACTGGGTGAATACATTTATTATCCATTCCACGTCGATGGGCATTTGAATAGGTTCCAGTTGAGGGTGTTGCAAGGATTCTGTACATTTGTGTTAGTGAATCTATTTATGCATTTCGGCTGAATATGTAACTCAGAACTACAATTACTGGTTCATAAGAGCACTTTATTCTTTAGGTGGAGGGACATAGTAATTTGGATAATATGTTACATTGTTTACTAGATTACTTTTAAAGCTAAGACCAAGAAATAGGGAAGAGCTTTCCAAATGGGGAGAAAATGATTTTGAAAAGTGGGGCACCAGCAGGAAGGTGTTTGGCAGGGGTTTGGGCAGTGGGGAGAGCGGTGTACGAGGCAGGTGAGGAGCATGTGTGAGGGATGCAGGTCAGCTCTGCGCAGCCTCCGTCAGCCTCCCCGGTGTCCTGGCTGTGGTACCCATCAACACCCACTGCTGTGGGCCTTTCTGCCCTTCCGGACTTTTCCTGCTGGCTCTCACAGTGGGGATTGAGATCTGGGAGTTCCCCTCCCAAGCTAGAGCTCTCAACAGAGCACATGGTGCTGAAAACAGCAGTTACAGCCAGCCAGATTGCTTCTTTCAGTCTCTGCTCCACAAAATCTTTTAGACAGAAAGAGGGAGGACAAAGAGGTAATTGCCTTCAGCTCAAAACAATCCTTCGGCGGTATTTTGGAGTGACATTCTGGTCCCCTTCCATTAAAACTAGGCAAGATGAGGAAAAGAGTTGAGTGCTAAGGTTGTTGTTTGTTGATTGGATTAATTCCTTTTGTAAAGAGATGCATGATCCTTATGCAAATTTTGGCAATAAAGAAAAGTCCAAAAAAAAAGTTTAAAAACAAATTCTACAAAATCCCACCATCCAGAAACAGCGTTACCACAATTCGAACAGTCTTTGTCATCATGCTCTGCATATATTCCATAGTTTTATTTTAGAGACATACTCTTTAATAGGGAAGGTGCTGGGGTTGCTGGGGCAGGCCAGGAGCCAGCCAGGGATCAGGGGGTATTTCAGATGGATGGGCTGCCAGGAAGGCAGAGCGCCAGAGGCCAGAGGCCAGGAGGCTCTCCCTGGCTGTGAACGTTACAGGGATTAAGCCCTATCTTTGCAGGATTACAGTTCCTAATTAGGAAAGGAGGATTATAGAAGGGGACCTCTCAGCATTCCACAGCAGGGCTGTTTGCTCTTTCTGCAATCTTTTGGACTACGGCAGGACTTTCCGCCCTCCGTGTTTCTGTAAAGACAGAAGGAAGCATGAGGGAGACAAGCAAGAGCCAGGCGGCTTCTTGACGGGGGTAGCTTAGGTCTGTTAAAGTGAATTCAAAGTGGAGTCACTTTGAAGATCGATTTGGCTTTTTGGAATGATTCATGAATCTGGCAGCATCCCATCTAGTAAATAGGTGCTCCGAGCGGCTGTATAAAACGGAAGGGTTTTATAGGCAGGATGGGACAAAGCAGTCAGAGCGAAAGAAAAGAAAGGATTATTTCAGGCCAGGAAGGGAGCAGCAGGGGTTTTATTATGCAGAATACCTCACTAGTGCTAATCTGGAAGTTTCATATTGTCTGTTTAATGGTCACGTTTCTAGAAGAGGTTGACGTTGCAGATGCCTTGGTTTGTTATTGTCTGGGCAAATGACTCCATTTGGGGCCTGTTATTTTTTAACAGGTCACACAGGATCACAGAGATGGGAAAACTGGGAGCCCCCAGGAATTCAAGCCCAGTACCCTTGGTGTATAAAAGGGAAAACTGCGACCCACAGAGGGGAAAGGAGTAGCATATAACCGTGCAGATTCGGGGACTGATAAACTCCCACCCTTCCCCCATTGTAATGTGACCCAGAAGGATGATCTCTGCATTCTTAAAACGTAAATCGGTGTCTTGCTTTAAGACACTTGAAGGCCATCTATAAAAATCTGTTATTCAAAAGCATAAATATATTGATTAGAGTGAGACAATTCACATTACAAAGACTTTTCTTCTTTTTACAAAAGATCTTACCAGAGGGTTTCTCCCGTGGCAACCTTTCCTCACAGTATTTCAATGAGTTTTATTTTCCAAAACTTAGTTTTCAGGTGTGGCTGTATTTCATAAGCTGAAGCCTCTTGAGCACCAAAACAGCTCCAGAAGGGTTTGTGTTATTGTTTATGATGGTGGATTTGTAAGGATTTGGGGGAAGGGACATTAATGAAGCTTTTACTTGGGGAGTTGATGGCTTGAAGGCCCCAGATCCATCTCGTGAGGCTCAGGTGGGGTCAGGGCAGGACCAGCTACATAATTTGTGGGGCCCAGTGCAAAGTAAAAAGGCGGGGTGACTTGTTCAAACATTAGTAAGAATTTCAAGATGACAGCAGGAGAGCATTAAAGCCAGAGCAGGGCCTGCCTAAGGGTGGGGCCCTGGGCAGCTGTGAGGCCAGCCCTAGGTCGAGGTGACTGGGGGGTGGATGGCTGGTGTGCAGAGGAAGTGCTCAGAGGTCAGAGGTGAGTCCAGTAAGCCATAAAGCTGCTCTGTTCAGCTTTGAGATACTTGACCTTCCAAATTTTATTTGGGTTCGGCTATTGGTAAATGAGTCACTCCTGAGGCAGTGGGGGTGAACTGTATACAGAAGATAACATCTCTGGTCATGACCCCAGCTCCTTCCTGGGGACCAGCCCTCGTGCAGGTCTGCACACCACAATTTACTTCATCTTTATAGAAATATTTGTGTAAAGTGGCAGTTAAGATACAAACTCTAGAGACAGATGTCTGGGTTCACATCTCACGGGCTGTGAATCCTTGGGCAAGTTATTTAACCCTACTCTGTGTGGCAGTTTCTTCATCTGTTAAACTAACGAGGGAGTTACCTGCATTAGAGGGTGGTGTTAAGAGTGAAAGAGCTCATCTATTTTAACCTCTTTGTCGGGGGGCCTGGCACATAGTACATGTTTGATAAATGTTTGCTGCCATGATGGTGACAGAGAAGTGGAAGTGATGATCACACTATAGTTAAGTAGCAGGTTCTCCATTTCACGGAGGAGGAACCTGTGACACAGAGAGATTAGGGGACTTATCCGAGGTCACCCAGAGAATAAACAGGCTGTGCTCTCCTCCGCCATGGTACCTCTTAGACAAGCTTTCGGGTTGGGCCTTAGTGCCTCAGGCTCACTGAACTCCAGTGTAGATAGATCACCGAACCCACATTGCTGATTCCAAGTCCACCCGTCATCCACACATCCTTGCTGAACCCCTGCGTGTGCTGGGCCCTCTTGCTGGTGCTGACAGGTATGCAGATGAGAGATGGAAGGGAGTGGGACAGACAGGTGCAGTGACGGGTGCCATATCCCACGTGACCATCCATGGTGAGGGGGCAGGAGCATGGCGACCCTGGAGAAGGTTCTTTGGGGCGAAGCTGTAGCCTGGGCTTTGGGGAAGAATAGAAGATGGGGGGAGGGGCCCCGCTGTGTACTGTGTGGATGTACTGTGTGGACATAGTAAACTGAAGTAAATGCCTCTGCCTCAGCCTCACGGGCAGGTGGTGTCAAGAGGCAGGTGACAGCCCAGAAGTACCATGAGCTCTGATAAGAGGCAGGGCCATAAAAGCCTGAGGCACCAAACCCCCTCTTCTTTTAATGGGTGGGAGGAAAGACAGGCACAAGGGCATTTGGGGGTTGCAGGGTTTTGCCAGCCCTCACCTTTGATCACAGTTAGCGCTCACTTGGGGGGATCGTCCCACCCTGCCCTCCCTGTCAACCCCCTTCCCCCATTCACCTGCTCTCCTGCTCTTATCTTCCAGGGTCAGTGGACTTTCCCCCTTCATGGGTGACAATGACAACGAAACCTTAGCCAACGTTACCTCAGCCACCTGGGACTTCGACGACGAGGCATTCGATGAGATCTCCGATGATGCCAAGGATTTTATCAGCAACTTGCTAAAGAAAGATATGAAGTAATGAGTTGAGATTTCAGCTTCCCCACACCCTGGCCTGGTGTCCAGAGACAGGGTTTCCTTTGCCTGTCGTGGGTCCCTCCTTACCTGAGGAGGGGAGGGTGGGCATTGTGAGTGTGGGGGTAAAGGAAGGGAGCGCTACTTACTTGTCTTTAGAAGTACCGAACCTCACTTGAAAAGCAACACTTAGCTGAGTGTTGCAGGGAGAGTGGCAGCAACACTTGACTGAGGTAAAGTATCTCAAAGCTAAACAGAACAGCTTTATGCCTCATTATGCATGAATAATGGTGCCCCCCCCTTTATTTTCCATGTACAGCTGTGGCCTGTAGAAGCCCTGCTGAAACCTCAGCCCCTCTTCAGGGTTGCACAGGAAGTATCCTATTTATGAGTCGTCACCATATCCCCAGCCTCTTCTGGCTTAGTGTTTGTCATATCTAAATTATTTAAGAACTACCTGCCTGAATGTGGCCAGGTACCTTCTCGCACGGGTCAAAATTAGGCTGTAATCCCAGACCACTGGGCTCAGCCCTCTCCCAGCTCCGTCTCTGTCCCCCCATAACAGTATAGACTGTGAGGGTCTCCACCTCTGCCTTCTGGGGTTGCCTGTAGCCTGCCCAAGTTGTCAGTGGATGAATATATAAAACAGCCATGAACAGTGGGAAGCCAGTGTGTTCGGGTGTACAGATGGCCCAAGGCTGTGAGGAAGGGTCAGACACACAAAGCACTCAGTATTTCACTGAAAGAAGAATGGAAATTAACACTGCAGAGGAGACTGGAGCTGAGAAGGTGAAGTTGGAGGGGGGCTTGGGTATGGTTGGACAGAATTCATTGGTGGGGACTCCCCTTGGTGAAGGGAATCAGATAAATGAAAGCAGGAAGGGGAGAGGGGCCATGTGTGTGTAGGGAGAGCTGGCCTGTCCCAGGGGAAGGACATAATGGGGGTGTCAGGTGAGAGCAGCTGGCCTGTTGGGCTCCTCGCCCACTCTTAAACAGGGGGCCAGATGTGGCAGGGCCTGGCTCCAGGAGCCCCAAGGAGCCGTACTTGGCATTAAAAGGCAGTTAAAAGCTTTGTCCCAGAAGGGTGGTGTTGAAATACGTGTGATGCCAGAAGAAGAGAAGGGGAGGGACAGCCCAACTCCAGGGCTACGCAGAAGTCCGTGCATTCACCAGGTGACTCTGTGGCCTAGGTTTTGCCCTGTCCATCTGACCACAGATTCTCCCCGAGGCTGTTGGCCATCTTGCTTCCGTCTGGGGGAAATCCCGTTTGGGACAGGAGAGCACAGTCACTAAAGTAACAGTGTTGAAGGGTCTCTTTTGTCTAATTTTCTGGTTAACCACGCACTCACCTCTCATTCCTCTTTAGCCACCTCAGGGCCAACTGCCCCATAGGCTACATTCCACACCCCTAGACAGTGAGGTATTTTAGAGTTTTACTGTCATGGTCTTTGTATCAGAAGTAGGCATGACCTAAGGAGAACCTGGGTGTTGTGGGGGGTCTAGATTCCCTTCCCGTGTGAGGGATCCCCATTCCCAAGGTGCTTCAAGGAAATGCAAACCCACTTCCTAATAACTCTGGTCCAAGGATGGCTTTTGTCAACCAAGCTTCATTTACCAAAGATTTGGTAAATGCGGTATTATGTATACACCTTCTTTTCTCATCTGACATGAATTCATTCAGTAATGAGCTGTGTTCCCCTCTGTGCTCATAAAATGGACTCACCAAAGAACTGATTTCAAATAGATCAAGACACTAGATTCCCGTCAACTCTTAAACTCAACTCTTAAAGTCTCTTCAACCAGAAATCATCTATCAGCACTTTTTTAAAAATGTTGTTCTATAATAAATGTAATACATGTAAATTGTAGAAAATTTGAATATAAGAAAAATTAAAATAATCCATATCCCTTTATCTAAAGATCACTACATTTTGCTATACTTAGCAAATTTACTTATATTCATTTCCCTGTGAATGTTAGCATTTTGTTCTTTGGGCTTTATTAGTCCTATTACAATTAAGGTGATGGCCCTAAACTATTTCTAGATTCCCAGAGTTTTCAGAGAGATGAAGTGAGTTTCAGGGCTGTTGTAAGGTTGTCATAATTCACAGGTATATGTAGGACATACCTCTTTGTGTTTAACAAGAAAAACCTGATACTGAACCACACTATAAGATGTGAGAGTTCAGGGATTCTCAGAGATTTGGGCTTAAGTTTCATTCACCCCTCCACCAGACAGGGTGGCAGAAGGTTTAGGCCTCCACAGCCCCTAGCTCCCATGTGACCAGCAGAATGACCCACCCTGGAATATGGTGCCAGCCATTTCCAGACATGTCTGCCCTCCAGCACTTACCCTTCCTGGACCCCAGTGGCAGGTCATGAGACCCCAGTTGCTTACTTGGTGGTTAACTCTTCTTAACACTAGCCTATTCTAGGTCTGGTCAGTGTAATGCACACCAAGAGAGGAAAAAGGCCAGGATCACAGTGACCCTGATTATGGTGCATGGACTGGGAGCAGAGAGCTCTGGGCTCTACCGTGTGTGATCAGGGACAGGTGACCTCCCATTTCTGATCTGACCAGCAGTCTCTGAGGTCTCCTCCCGCTCAGAAATCCTCTGATCTCTGCTTCTATCAGAAACCGCCTGAACTGTACTGAGTGCCTTCAGCATCCATGGCTAATGAAAGACACCAAGAACATGGAGGCCAAGAAGCTCTCCAAGGACCGGATGAAGAAGTATATGGCAAGAAGGAAATGGCAGGTAAAGAGGGGGTCGATTTGGACTGGGATCTTGCCCTCCTGTTGGCTTTATTCAAGCCACCCTCATTCCAAACTTGCGCTGGCCCCACTCCAAAAATGTTTAAATCTGTTTCTGAAATAGTCTGGGACCAACACGGACAATTCATGTCATTGGGGCTAGGGATGAGCAATGTCACCTTTAGGACTATTTGGCAACCCTGGAGAATGTGACCTCCTTAAAAGTAGAGTGACGGTCTAACATTTCTTTTCGATGAAGGAGAAGGGCATATAACCTGCAAAGAGAGACACAGTCCCCGCTCTCTAGGGAAATTGTATGTTACTAGCTACGTGTCCTTGGGCAAATGACTTAACCTCTCTACGTTTTTGTTGTCTCATCTGTAAAGTGAGATAATAGTGGTACCAACGTCACAGCATTGTTGTGAGAATTATATGAGATTAGCTTCATCTGGCCTTTAGCACATTGCCTGGCATATAGGAAGTGTTCAAAAATGACACCAGTAGCTAACATGTAGGGAGGGCTGGCCGTGTGTCAGGGAACATTCAGTGCACTTTCTACGCATTAAGTCTTTTAATCCTAGTACCTAGGAGGAGGGTACTATATTATCCGTACTTCTCAGGCAAACTGAGACAGAGAAAGGTTAGGAAAGTCACACAGGATCATGTAGCTAGTAAGTGGGAAAGGCAGGATTCAAACCCAGAGCCTGGCTGCAAAATACATAGTCTTAACAGTGACATAAAATTGCCTCCAATTGATACCAGGTGGATAAAATGATAATCCAAAGACATAGAGAACTTATCATCCATTGTATTATTGTTTATTATCACTATTAGTACTATAAAATTCCTGGGCTACTGGAGAGTACATGGTTTCTATACTCAAGGAATGTATAGTGGAATGGGGGAACTGAAGCAAATAGACATAAAAGGACATAATGCACACCAAGAATTATAAACTACCAGTATAGCTCTCCATACCCATATATGTGAGTGTGGACTGGAGAATGGAGCCAGTCACACCAGACTTGGATGTGGTTGTGAGGAAATGCTGCCAGGGCAGGGGTTTGAAGTTTGTCGTGGAACATGGGCTGGAACACAGAAAAGAGAGGATAACAGCACAGATGGAGGAAAAGGCACAATGGCAAGAACTGGACCTCAGCTGGTTATGCTGACCTGATAGGAGCAGAGCCTTCTAGCTGGGCAGTCAGGGGACCTAGGGCATTTAGACCTTTGTTATGTGGCAGAGAAAAAGGAAATCACTGTTTTAAGGGACACTGGTAATTTGCCACACAGAATCACTAAATCACAGTTCCCTTAAAAAGTACAACTTCACGCAAAGGTGGAAAGAAGGAACGGAGGCAAACGAGGAGCTTTGGGTATGGGTGTAAGGGACTACCACCCCATGTGTGGGAACTCCCCCACAGGAAGTCAGTTCTTAATTAGCCCTCACCCATATGAGGGTTTGGGTGGATCTCCTGGCCACCCTCAAGTGCCAGGTGAGTTGGAACACCTGTGCTCCTTACCTTTCCCTCTGGTCCCATTAGGATCCAGTGAAATCAGGTAACAAATAGTCTTAACAACAAAACAAAACAGGGTCCACAAAAATCAAAGATTGGCTTTGTTAATGATCCTGTGGCCAGTAGATCTCAAAGAAAAAGCAATATTTCTGGAGCAGATAGGGTGGCTGGGGTGGGGGTGGGGTAGCCCTCAGAGGGAGTCTCTCTGGGTTCTGCCTGGATGTGGCTGTGGGTTAAGGGTCAGCCTTCTCACTTAAGGCTTTCTGGGAGCATTGACACATCTGCTGGGAACAGAGATAGGCACGCAGGAAAGATAAGGAAATGGGAGAGGAAGCAAATGGAATTTTTCAGCCAGATGGGTCTGGGAACCATAATTTGCTGATATTTTAATCACTTAAATTTTTTCTTGTTATTTACACTGTTATTAGTCAGAGGGTTTTTCTGGAAGTGAGGGAAAAAAGAAAAGGGCAGAATTCAGAGAAGGAATCTTAAAGTCACATTTTAGTATAGGTGGCAGCATTTGGAAATGATTTTTCCACAAAAACAGTGCTTAGGTTGCACTAAAATAGACATTCCAAATCCCATCTGACCCATAATGTCCCTGAAGCATAATTTTACTGTTAATAGTTCAGCTGCATCTGACCATCTTGTGTTACGTTGCTTCCTTAGGAAAATGTTTTCCACATTTTTAACTCCAGGAGCCAGGAGCATAGCTGCCCTGGAATAGGGGGTGCCCTCTCAGAGCAGTGAGGTTCTGTGTGCTTGGTGGGGCGGGGTGGAATGGAGTGGGGTGGACTGTGATGGAGAGAGAGGAGCAGGGCAGGCCCAGGTGGCCCAGGAGTCTCTACAGCTGCACGAGGAAAGGTTCCTTGTTATCATTCTGGTATGGTTTTCATAAAAGGCCTGGGAGGGAGGAAGTAACATGGGAACAAATCCCTACATACTAGGCAGTATATAGATGCCTAATTATATCATTGGACTTTGAATGAAGTTATTCTAAAAGGGTATGTTCTTCATTTATAGCGAAAGAAGTGTTAAAGGACATGGTAGTGAGTAGTAGCATTGAGAAGGGATAAATTGAGCATGATAACAGGGCTTCTGCATGCAAAGCTAGAAGCAAAGGTCTAGGAATTAGAGGCCCATGGACAGCCATCTTTATTTTCTGGAAACCATAAAGACCCAGCAGTATGGATCAAAGGGCCATTGGGAAAGCTTTAGGCTCAGTAGAGCACAGAGTGCTCTTGACATTCACATTTGGATATTATGCACTTCTCACAGAAATATATATATATATATATATACACACACACACACACATATATATACATACACACATATATATACACACACACATATATATGTATATATACATATATATGTATATATATATATATATATATCTTTTCCAGTTCTGACAACTTCCATATCCATTTTTTTTCCATAAATCAATTTCCAAAGATGGAATTCTGATGTAGATTATTAAAAAAATTTTTTCCTTAGTAAGCACTTCTCCCTATTTCGAAATTATATGCTGTAATATCTTTGCATCTGATGGAAATTTTCCCCCTGTGTGTGGTCTTATTTGTTAATGTGAATTTGCTACCTCCTCAGAAATATCATAACTCTTGTACTTGTGTTGTTCTGGTAACATAATATTAGTCATTTTGTTAGTACAAGAGGAAAGACTTCATTATTCCACACCATACAAGTGAAGACAGGTCTGGTCAGTCACAATCCAGGTGTTTGGAATTAGGGAGCCCAGGGGCTCAAGAGGAGCACTCCCTGCTACACCTTCACAAGTGTGAATCCTGATCTTCCTGTGGAAAACTAGAGCTGCAGGGAGATTTGAATCTTCTGGTCCAAGGACATGAGGCCTAGAGAGGGGAACTGACTTGCACAAGGTAACACAGTAATCAGTGGTTCAAGAACTAACCTGTACCTTCTTGGGAATGCACCCTCTGGTTTTAGAGACTCCTGGCCCAGAACAAACCAATCTGTGTTGGATAAAGGGAACCAAGAGATGAGAAGGGTAGAGTCTGAGAGTTTGGCAGATTAGGAAGTAGCCTGTCTGAGGTTGACTCTGTAAGAAGGGCTGCCTGCCTCTTACACCTCTTAACCAGTTCCCGAGGTCAAGGTAAGCTCTTGTGGGAAGAACTGGGTCTCTCCACACTCCAGCCAGCACAACAAACAGATCAGTGGTGTCACCAGTGACAGCTTTGTCCAGAAGATCATGCACATTTGCCAAGTGGTCTCATTCTCTGCAGGACCACATGCCTCTGCACACAGTTAAGCTGGTCAGTCATCATCCCTCACCTTCTTCCCCACTCATCACCTCCACCTGGGGCATCCGGGATTCAGTTCAGAGTGACCCAGTTTTGCCATGGTGACAGGGCCAGAAACATACACACATCACACAGTGATGTATTTGAGAGGGTGGATGGCCAGAGGACAGAGCAAAATGAAATGTCTGTCCAAAGCACATGAAAATAGTCTGCAGCAAGGATGGCAAAACAGAAGAGTGATCATGGTAACAGCAGGTCTTCACTTAAACCACACACACACACGTGCGCACATGCGCTTTTCTGTAGGACTCCTTAGTGCCCTGAAATTCTTCACTTTTGAAATAATCTTTTTACTGAAGCATACTGGCTTTCCAGATAGTCCAAAATTGTGAGACTTTACTAAAGTACAAATGTCTGAAGTTACTTCAGGAGGCAAATGGCGTTGGCAGTATGAGGTCCGGCGGGTGAAAGCTTGCCATTTGCCTGTGTACAGACGGTGTCCTCCCTCTCTCAGCAGCCCATCTGCTGTGACATCTCTCTAGATGTACAGCAGCTGGATGCCTGAAAAGATGCTTTGGGTGCAGGGGTGGGAAAAATTGGTTATACCTTAGTTTCGTATCTTAGTCGTTCCATTAACCTTAGAAAAGGGGTGAGAAACTAATTAAAGGTGAGAAACATATGCACATGGTATATTATTGGGGATTTCGTGACCTAAGTCCTGTGCTTGGTAGAATTTTCACAATGCAAAGAAATGTTCATCTCAAGTTCTGGCCTCCTTTTCAGCAGAAACTCTGTCCTCTCCCACGGTGCCTCGTCTCAGAAGAGCAAAGCGCCGTTGCTTTTCATTTCGCCAGGGCTTCTTTTTGATGCCTGGGTGTACATCAGGGAAGAGCAGCGCTCCATAACTGTGCATTTATAGGCTTGTGCTGAGGCCAGCCAGACTGTTTCTCGAAATCTCTTAAGTATCTGAATCATAAACAGAACTAAATAAGACCTTGGTGAGTGATCATCTTGTCCAACCCCCTCCTTAAACAGAGAAGGCAACTGAAGCCCAGAGAGGTCAAACGACTTGCACAAGGTCAAAAGAGTGCTTTTTTCCCCCTTGCAGCAGAACCTGTGGGATCTGTAGTAACTATTCTCTTGACCAATTAAAATCCTATCACTAGCATTGTTTTACGAGAAACAGCCCCACTGGGCCCTGTCAGCAATAAGTCTTTGGAGCTGTCTCAGCCTGCAGTTGCTTTATATAAACTATCCCTTTTATGGGAGTTGAAGCACAGTATGAAAAGGGTTTTTGTCTCATGTTGACCTTGTTTAGTCACATTAACGCACACATCAGCTCCAGGCCCCATTCCATTCTCCGAACATCTTCTGACACACAGATAGTGCTGAGCAGAGCAAGGCTGGGCTCCCTCCTCTGGCACAGCTTCGGCACTCGCTCCGGAGGCCCTCATTTCAGGGACAGCTGCTTTTCCTGAGCTGGGCTTTTCTCCCTGAGCCCCACAGCCCAGCTGGAACCAGGGACGCTGCCTGAGTCCAACCCCAGTTGTCTCTTTTCCAGAAAACGGGCAATGCTGTGAGAGCCATTGGAAGACTGTCCTCTATGGCAATGATCTCAGGGCTCAGTGGCAGGAAATCCTCAACAGGGTCACCAACCAGCCCGCTCAATGCAGAAAAACTCGAGTCTGAAGGTAAGGTGCTCCAGGAAGATGTTTCTCCAACCGGTTGGTGAAAAAGGAAGGTCTAGGGGATGGAAGGGCATTCTGAGGGTTTTTCTTGTTTGGTTGGTTTTTTTGAGGGGTGGGAGTTGTTTTTTGATAATACAATATACAAGGATAAAATTCAGCACTACTTTTAGGTTGCTCTGACAGCAGTTACTAAGTCTATTAATTACTATTTAATTGTTTAACCTTAGGTTTAACTATTTGCAGAGGGAAACATTATTTTTCTAAGAGAACTAGATGACCTGTGCTATTATTTTCCTTATAGTTTACAGAAGAATTAGCAAAGGCTATATTAAAAGTTTCCTTTCTGTCTCATTACAAAAGTGATATTTAATATGTTGACAGGCAAACATAAAATTTAAGTTACCTATAGTAGTGTACTTTTTAAAAATATCCTGGTTTTTTTGTTTTGTTTTGTTTTTTACTGTCTTTGTGTTTTTCTTTTAAACAAAAATTAACTCAGATAGTTCCATATCCATTTGCCTCATTTCATGCTGCTGAAATATGTCATTTGAACTGGGTAGACTGTGATGGGCAGGGCCCCTCCTGGAGACCAGCACAGTAAGTGACGTGCCCACCTTCGAGGTGCTGCTCCATCCATCACCTCAGTGACTGCCTAGCCCTCTTCCTGCTCCAGATGCGTGCAGGGCAAGGTCTGTCCCTTATCATCTTGGGGTGCCTCATTTGGCCAGAGACACCCCTCCACCCACCACTGCCTGGGGCTGTTGGTATCCAAAAGTGAGAAGCTGAGTTGAGATCCCTCTAGTGCACAAAGGCAGTGTCATTGGTGAGGCCACTTGCTGGGCCGCTGTGATGTCACCAAGGACAAAGCCTGCAGCACATGGGTCTGGTCCCTCCTGATCCACCCCTGCCACTCCCAGATGATCCACAAATGGCTGGAAGGGGAGGGAGACAATAGAGGAGCCCCTCCAAGTTCCGGCTTTTCCCTGGAACAATCCCAAATCCTGGTCCCCAGTCATCCGTGAGAATAGAACTACTGTCACGTCAAAGATGCTCCTAGGACCTGGCTCCTCCCTTCTAAGGAACAGGAAAGGGCATACTGCCACAGGAGGAGGACAAAGGGGTGCAGAGGTCGGGAGGCTGGTGTGCTTCCGTTCTTAGATACCCTCCACTAAATCTTAAAACAGCATGAAATGCAGCCAAAAATCCTTTTTAAAGATTATTTCTGTTTTCAATGTGTTAGCATAAGGGAAGGGGGGAGTCCAGACATTTCCCCAGTTTGGTCACAGTTCTCTTCCCCCAAAACCATTTGGCGGCAGGACAATCTGCCTCCAGGAGAAAGGTATGTGTAATGATGCAGTCCCCTAAGCTGCATTATTTGCCACATTACAGCTACTCTTTTAAAAAAACAATATTTTTTTAAATGTAAAAGTCAGCTTTTATAAACTAGGGAAGAAGAGGGAACAAGGAATGAAGAAGTGACCATGTCCTCTTCCCTGTCTTCTAGGAGATGTGGCCCAAGCTTTCCTGGAGGCTGTTGCTGAGGAAAAGCCCCATGTAAAACCGTATTTCTCTAAGACCATTCGTGATTTAGAAGTTGTGGAAGGAAGTGCTGCTAGATTTGACTGCAAGATTGAAGGTAAATTGTAGCTGTTCTTCCCTTTACTACAAAAGGGGCTTGGCTGGCTCATGGGCCCCCACGGTGTGTCCTGGGCAGGATGTCAGTTCTGGGAGCAATGAGGAACCACCAGGCTGTGAGGGTAACTGGGTCAGGAGGAGTTGGCCCAATGCCCCCGCTCCACCTCCTCAAGGTTAGTACCATGCAGTGACTTACCTAGGGGCACGGTTGATGTTTCACTTACTTACATCAGCCTCTAGGCCCAAGTTAAAGGTGGTTTATCATGGACATATTTGGCGATGGAACAAGCTTAACGCAATGAAGTTTGCAAGCTTCTGGGAAGCATGTGCCCACAAAAGGCTCTCAAAGGGAGGGTGGCACAAAGGGAACAGGACGTGGAGTTGTGGGTCCATCTAACTTCTGAGCCTCAGGCCCTCACGTGTAAGGTGATGTCTAATGCACTGAGTGTCTCTGGGAGATGACGTATGTGAAAAGGGAAACCTCTTACGTCTTTTAAAGATGTCATGGAGTCACGGGAATTGGTGTGGGATTCGTAAGTGCAGAGAGAGCATGCAATGTGACTTCACCCGGAGGGAAGTCGGGATCCAGGCATCCGTGCCGTCTTCCGCATGCTTCTCTGCCTGCCAGGAATAATGTGGCCGTGAGGTTTTAGAGCTCAAGGGACCTTGAGGGATCTTAGCAGAGCACCTGAGAACTTAGCAATGTTGGTGACACGAAGCATTTCAGTTACCACAGACTACAACACTTTAGAAAGACAAAGGGCAAGATCAGACAGTCCTTAAGCCTGTGACTGTCGCGTGCCAACCAGAGTACAGGGTTATCTCCCATTTCAGCCTGGCCAAATAAAGCCCAGATGTTCAATAAGCAACTTTTCTAAGCCTGCGTAATATAGGACAGCAGTCAGAACCAATCATGGCTCCCACTTTGGAAGATTCTCCAGCAATATGACTAGATAATGCCTTTTGGGTAAAGTAACCCAAAATTAGGGAGGAAAAAACAATTTTTCTCCTGCACCATTATCAAAATGCCTTGTAAATGCCTTACCCACCACAATCTTTCTTTTCATTCAGTTTAAAAATATGTGATGTGCTCCCTTTGCTAGTGTGAAAGTGCTCAGATTGGGGGTTCTGCTGAAAGTTCTGTGGCCACTGCTTATAACTCCACCATCACCACAGTCTTTGAGTCTTTTGAAGTTCTTTCATTTTTCCTTTGTCTATTTAAAAAAAATTATTATAACATGATTGTCATCTTTGTACTTACTTTTCCCTTTGGGATTATTTATTTGGTATTTGTATAACTTTGACTGGAGACCTGAGAAGAAATTAAAGTAGTTGGACACTGTTTTGATTAAAACAAAATTCCACTTGAAAAGAATGTTAGAATTTTTTATGTTCTTTTATGTAATTTTTATTCTGGTTGGGGTTACAATTATTTTCCCATAAAAATATTTCTTCAAATTATATATTTTAAAGGCATATTATATATATAATTTTTAATACTGAACTTTGAAGAAACAGGATTAAGTCCTAAAATTAAGCTAATCAATGTGGTCTATTTCCAGTTATCTATAGGCAGATTTTCTGTCTTCGAGTTGGACTAAGACAGATATTGCTTTATTTTTCTTAAAAATATTATCAGCTCCTCTAACTTATGTTTCATAGAGCTGTTATCAGCATTGAGTTATAATTTACATACCATACAATTCACCCATTTTAAGTGTACAATTCAGTGTACAATTTTTAGTCAATTTACAGAATTGCAGTCATCACCACAATCGAATTTTAGAACATTTCCATCACCCCAAAAAGATTTCTTGCGCCCATTTGTTCTGAATCTTATTTTTTATTTCAATTTATTTATATTCAACTTTTATACAGGATGAAAAGTTTTCTTTTAATCCCAGAAGATATTTAGCTCTAGGCATATAGTTGGAGATGGGGCAGTGTTCCGGTTAGTACTCTGTATCTGTATAAAGGTGGGAGGCCGTGCAAGCCCCACATGGACGGGAAATGGAATGACTGCAGATTACTTCATGTGAGGTTTCAGATACTAGTATTTACCATACTTGCCCATATTCAAATGTAAGTAGCAAAACAGATGCTAAAAGCCAACATCGTAATTTTCTTTCTTCTTCACCACCTTAATCAATAGAGGTAACTTGGGAGTTCCTTGCATAAATTGATAAGAAATTTTGCATAACGGTTTGTGCTACTTATGTTCTCTCCCTGTGATGCAGGATACCCAGACCCCGAGGTCGTCTGGTTCAAAGACGACCAGTCGATCAGGGAGTCCCGCCACTTCCAGATAGACTACGATGAGGATGGGAACTGCTCTTTAATCATTAGCGATGTTTGTGGGGATGATGATGCCAAGTACACCTGCAAGGCTGTCAACAGTCTCGGAGAAGCCACCTGCACAGCGGAGCTCATTGTGGAAACCATGGAGGAAGGTGAAGGAGACGGGGAAGAGGAAGAAGAGGAAGAGTGAAACAAAGCCAGACAGAAGCAGTTTCTAAGTCATATTACAAAGACTATTTCTCTAAAACTCAAAACATCCAAGATAGTAAAAGCACCTAGTGTGATAGATTTCTCTAGTTAGGTCATTTGGGGGGTCGGTTCTTCAGCAACAGCAGTTGATACCTAGCAGTGTCATTGATGGGCATTAATGTGAGTTGACTGGCACTTAAGATATGAGTTCAGCTAGATTTCATTTTGGGAAATCACCAGTAACTTGCCTGACCAGTTGATTTTAGAGAGAAAATAACCAAAATAAATATTTTTCTGAGCAAAATCACAAATTCCCCCAAGTGAAACACCCATCAAAAATAAGGCCCTGCAGCCACAGCTCAGCCCAGAGGGTCCCTGGAGGTGGAGGTCTCCCTCTCCCAGCTCCCAACTCTGGGAACAGGGTCTTCTCCAGTACTGCAGCCCTTCATTCGGAAAGCAGTTGAGCCATTTTAACTTATGCGGCACATTTTATTCCAAAGTATACTGTAGACATTCAGACTTTTCATTTTCCCCTCATTCTACCTGCCAGTTTTTCTGGATGTGAACCTGCTATGAATTTAAGCACTAAAGACATTATACTTCTTAGATTCTGAAGACAGGTCCCCTGCTCATGGATGGCTGGCTTCCTTAGGAAAACAGAATCTCCTTTCTTCCAAAATCCATAGAAAAGCTAAACTTATCCCCTCTTTGCAGATGTCTAGCAGCTTCAGACATTTTTATAAGAACCCGTGAAAAAAAAAATCCTTGTTAATGTGCTTTTCTTCTGAAACCAGGATTCATATTTGTGCTGTTATAGATCAGCTCTGCATGTGTGGTAAAGATTTTTGTGTTTGAATGTATCAAAAACCAGCTTGGTAAAAAGTTACTCTTATTTATTGGCCACTATGAAACAAATTTCAACTGATGAAGAGCTGTAGAACTCTACATACTTTGGAGTCTCCTTCAGGATAGTCTGAGTTTAATACACCTTCATTGTAAACACTTTCTTCAGAGAACTCTACCTACCTTATGGGTCCCACGTTGTTGTTTTTTCTTGAATGTGCATCAATCAAGCCTTGTCCCCAACCTTGAACTATATTCTTAGAACTGATAAATGCACTCAGACTTGCATCTTTAGGAATTTTTAACTTTCTTTCACTACATTGGCACTTAAAATTTTCTTTAGAAAACTTTTTGAAGGTCATAAACAAAGACCATAACCTGATATGCCTAATACATTTTCTGTGCGTGTGTGTGTAACATTCCAAATACTTTATTCTTTTCCACTGTTTGTAAAATGCAGCAATTTAATATTTCAAGGGACTTTTTAGTAGTTCCTTAAGAACCAATTTTAAATTACTTCAGTGCAATCCTACACAGTATCAACATTAGAATTTTGATATTGCTTAGTCTTATGTTATCGTCCATTCTCTTACCTGCTTTTTGCTGCTAGTTTCAAATTGCCAGTATTTTTTTGCTTTTAAACAGTTACAATATTTTTCATGATAGCCACAGTATTGCCACAGTTATTATAACAAAGGGTTTTTAATTTGATTTAGCGCATTCAAAGCTTTTTTCCATCACTTTTAATTGTGTTTAGACTATAATATTTGTGTGCGTGTATGTTGTATGTGTGTGTGCATGTGTGGTGTGTACGTTTGTTTACAGGTTTCTAATGCCTTCTTGAAATTGTGTTAATGTTCTCCCAGTTTATTATGCCATCAGATTGGTAAATGAGAACACTACAACTGTAGTTAGCTCACAATTTTTAAATAAAGGATACCACAGTGCATGCGTTTTGTTCAGTCTTTGCAGCCTTCTCTTTCTTCCCATGCCACCAGTTGTAGACTACCCAGATTAGAGCTTGGAAACTAAAAGTAAATGCAGTGATGCACAAATGGCTTATATGGTTGTGTTTTACTAAGGAACAAGATGACTTAGGTAGTTTTTGTTTATACTAGATAGCCTAATTTGCACATTTAGATCAAAATTTCTCTCGAGCATCAGTTTGGCTCAATTACGTTCTATATATCTATAGTGTCCTCAAAATGCTAAAATCTATATGACATTTTCAGCATGTGATAAAATCGTCACCATCATTAATACTATTTACCAGAGCTTGGTTTGCATTTGTAACTTTGATGTAATTTATTATTAGCAGCCACGTGCTATCTTTTCATGTCTTGATATCGAAGCATTTGTTATCACAAAACTGTCACTCCTGTTTTTTATAGGAAGTCTGTTATCAGATATCAGGTGGTGACTCCCCAGTGTATTGAGTGGCCAAATATTGTATATATTGTAGAAAGAATTAAGACATGTCACCAGATGTTGGACTAGATAATTCTGTAATTCCACAGTGTAGTCTGGAAAGAAATAATCCATTCTCCAGTTAATATTTAAATTTTTTCATCTTTTGTTTTTAGGCAACCACAACATACAAAGTTTCCTAGTGAGAAAAATTATTATTTTTAAAGAAAAGGACTTGTTATTTCTTGCTAGTGAAAAATGTACCATATATATGCTGCACCAGGAAAAATAACAAATACATTTTCTTCCTTTCCATTTTCATTCCAAACATATAAAAAGCAATCCCTTGATTGTTCCTTACATTGCAGAGCTTGATATTAAATGATATTTCCATATAACTAAAAAGACATGCTGACTGTTGTCAGCTAGAACTTAATTTATATAAAGTTTCTTTTCCTTTTTCTCAAAATGTTTGAGTTTTACTTTTCACATCTTACCTGCTTTTGATAAATCTGTGCAATGAATAGAAAGGAAGTAAAGGATAATTAAATTCTAAAGAATCATAATTCTCCACTCTTCAAGAAAATAAAAGTAATTACTACTTTCTTTACCCCTTGAGAACTGCTTCTCTATATTGGAACAGAAAGGCTAATAAATTATGTGGCAGTCATTACTGAGGCTCTTTGGCCTGGCACACAGTTAGGCCTGCGTTCCTGGCTCCCAGGCTAGGTGGGGCTGTGTGACAAGTCCTGGTCAGTGAGCTGTGAGCAGGGTGACGTGCAACACCTCTGGGCCAGAACATTTAAGTATTGATGCAAAACTCTCCATAATTACTGCCAACATGTGAGATGGTGGCTGCTTTATCTACCTGGGTCCCCAGCCACCCCAAACGGGTGCATAACACAAATGAAATAAATCACAAGATTTTAGGGTTCTCCTGTTATAAAGTCATCACCATATTCTAGATCTGTTCTGACCAATATGGTAACCATGTGTCACAAGTGGCTATTTAAATGTAAATTAATTTTAAAAAATAACACTTAAAATTCAGTTCCTCAGTTACACTACCCACTTTTAAAGTGTTCAGTAGTCACATGTGACTAGTGGCTACCTTGTTGGATAGCACAGATTAGAACTTTCTGTAAAGTTTGATCAGACAACACTGTTCTAGATGGACTAGGAAGAAAACAGAAAACTCCAAATTTTACATTAAATGTGGACATCACCTTTCAAATTACTGTGAAATTAAAACAAAAGTTTCTGTGAAATCAATCTGGAAAATAAATGTGGTCTATAGTTTCATCAATTGTATTGGATAATACAAACTCAATACTTAGGTTATTGTACTCCATTATTTACATTCATATATGTTTTTCACTTTTTAAGACATTTCTAAAGTACCAGCTCTGTGCGTCTCACCACAAAATCTAAATAGACCTGCAATTCACAAGCAATTACCAGATTACTTGTGATATGAAACAACCAGCTACACCAGAAACCTCCTATGTTTTTGAAACTTGGAGCTATTGTACTTGAGGTAGGGGAGCACCCAACAGCGACATAAGAGATAGATGCAGAGAAGGAGAGAGACTGGGTCACTAGGGCAGGATTTCCTTGACAGTGACCCAAAAGGAAGGGGGAGGGGCCATCCTGACAGCTACAATCATTTTCACCTCAATGACTTTGATTCTATCTCCCTTCCCATTGGAATTAGAAATACCCAGGAGATCTATATAGCGCTTGAAGACAACATTAAATTTTTAACTGCTGGTTGTTTGAAATTTTAGCCCATAGGCCTTGCCTGTGTTCCCAATGCTTGCACATTGCAGGGAAGGCTTCATGTCAGAGACTATCGCCCCAGTAGCGATCGTACAGAAGCATATGATAAATCTTCATATTTTTTTACTCCCTGAGACTAGATGTCTTCCAGTTAGAGATAACTAAGGAAGAAAGAGGTTACAAATTAACCTAAGTCAATTTGGTCACTCACATGTATTAGCTTCTTTTAGGCAGACATCAGTAGCCTCCGAAAGTCAAGAGATAGGTTGAGCTATAGGGCTTCTCCACAGCCTTGCTCCACATGGTATTTTACAGTGAAAGAAAGCCTCAGGCCGAATCCATCAAACACTTATTAGCAAGCAGTCATACAACCTATTCTGTAAACTCCATGAAGCCCCAGGTCTGTCTCTCCAGAAAGCATTTTATCAGTTCACTGAAGGCAAATGCTGCAGGATACTAGGTAGGATCCAGCTAACCTAGTTAATCAGCCAAATAGAGTCAGTTCCAGCTAAACATCTTGCTGGAGCTGTGCAGCTCATGCCTGTTCCCTCACCTATAAAATTACAACAATAGTTCCTACTTCATAGGTTGTAATAAAAATTCAATGAGCTCCTGCAGAGCACCTTATCCTTACCATAGGCCCCGATTCTGCTGGTACTCGGGGATGCTAAGGTATGTCAGAACCATCCTCTGACAGTCCTCAAGAACTGATTACACTTCTGCAGAATCAAAACAAGGATGTGAAAAAGTTATATACTTTATATAACTTTCATTGTATAAAAGAATACTTTTACATAATGAAAGATGAAAAGATTTAAATTCCACCCACCTCCCAATAAAGAATCTTCAAAACAAAGTGCCCATGCAATTGTACAAAAAAAATAATTGCTATGATTAGGAAATGCTACAACTGCCCTCGTTCTAAGGAAAATTTTAACGCCCAGTCCCTAAATACTCTCTTCTTCATAGCCAAAGAAGAAAAGCTCTGACTTCATAAGTCTTACTTGCCAAGCAAGAAGAAATTTCTCAGGTAAGCTTGATTTGAAACAAATCACACTTAACCTTTACTCCAAAGGCTTCCTAATTTTTAATTGGTATTTACAGAAGCTAATTCACATTTGACTTGTTCCTGACAGCATATTAGCCACAGATCAAGTAGGGCTCTGCTGTGCAGTCCCAGGAATAGGCTGGATAGATATCTTTTTCAAATTGCCTAGAAAGCTCAAAATGGAGGCTCCTACTCCTAATTTCTACAAAACTAGGAGATCGGGGTGTAAAGAATGGGAAGCTACCATAGTAGAGAGAAGGCCAAACATAAACTGCTGAAGACAAGCAGTAGCTCTGTTCTCTCCGGAATTCCCATTAAACTGAGATTACAGGAATTATATATATATATATTTTTTTAAAGCTACAAATATGGGAGAAGACAGATGAAAAAATGTTAGAAGTTTGGAAGACAGAAAGCAAACAGATGACTGGGTAGCTGAATTAGAGCAGAGAAGCTGAAACCTGACTTCCTGCAAAGGAGGAAGCCAATACAAAGGCAAGTCAGTTAATCCCAAAAAAGCTGGAGTCTGGAGGAACCAGGTAGCTAGACAGAGAGCCTCAAAGGGAATGTAAGGTATCAATTCACTGATGCAAACCAAGGCCTTTCAGGCCAAAGCAGATCCAAAGTCCCAACTCAGAGGCCAAGGCAGAGGTGGGATGGGACAATTAGGAGTTGGGACAGCATGGGTCCAGAGTCCAGGAGGTTAGTGTGAACATATCAATAGTATCCACAGTCAAAGTGCAGAAAAAGAGCCGGATCCTAGAAAAGCATTTGCTTGTTTGAGTTTTTAAAAACAGAGAAGCTTCTTTAAATTGGTTGTACAAGAAGCCAAATTGTTGGACTTTCAGTAATGTACCCTCTTTATGAAATGTCTTATATTCAGTTATTGAAAGCAGAAGTTCGGTTAACCAATGTCTGTTTAATCCAACTCACCCAACTTAACCATAATTTTCATTTCCTCTGTAAAGCAAATTAACTGATGCCCACATACTTCTGTGCCCCCTGAGTTGCATATTTACCAAGCATCAGTTGGGTTTGTTCTTAAATATACTGATGCCAATTCTACTTATAATTACGTAATTTAATTAAGTGTTATATAAGCCAACAGAAGCAGGGTGCCAAAGGTAAGACTAATTGTTTCTATGGAAACTAAATTGAGACTAGTGGTCATACACGGCAGTTTGAACACTTGCGTTTATCTCCAGTCTCCCAAAACCTCACTAAAATGAAAGTAAAGGGCTAAAGGGCATAAACCTCTAAGGGCAAAAAACGAGAGAGGTGATACAGTAGACTTGAGCTGTAGACAAAATTTTTGGGTAGACTATGTTGTGTCATTGGAATTAGCCCCTGGTCGTTCACAAAAAATGAATAAATTCACAGACTCAGCCTGAAATGAGGAGAGCAAGGAAGTTGTATTCAAGAAGAAAGATGCCAGCATAGAAGTTCTCGGGGCAGAGAACTGCACCTAACTTTAGGTTTGCTTTTTCATATATAGGAAAGGGTAGGTAAATTTCCTTACAGCAGGAGATGTGATGTATAAACTGAGGTCATTTGACTGACACGTTGGTTACATAACAGTTTCTTTCTGTGCATGCTCTTACCCAGAATGCATACAGAAAAACCCACGTGTGGGGGGGAGGGGTGCAAATCTTTATGTTCATTTTATTTTAATTGTACTATAATGAGGCTAGAGTTCAAGTAATGGACAGGTTTTAACAGTTCACGCAT